TCCATGTTCCCAAAAATAAGACTTTATCCTTGGATTAAGGGACCTACAACTCCCAGCATGCTGCAGAAGAAACCAGTTGTGTAGCCCCCACCCTGACCTCTCTAGCCAGGGGCTGACCGCCGCTGTGATTTTGGGCCTGGGGTCAAAAGGAATGACATGGAGACCGGCAGTGGGGCCTACCTCACCCAGGAACCAGGTGGTGAGGAAGCCAAAAAGGACGGCGTCGTTGGCCTCGCGGTCGTACCAGGGCACCCCGATGCTGCAGGTGTCCCACAGCTCCCCCTTCCAGCGCTCCAGGGCCCAGGCTGAGGCTCCCACGTCCAGGAGCACCACCAGGGGGCCCCCCTCGATCAGCCAGCGCCCAAAATACACCTGGGGAGACCCATAGGGAGGCTCAGGGCTTTGACCACAGTTTCTGGGGACAGCATCTGTGCCACCAGCGGGCAGATGTCTGTCTGGGCTTACTGCCCCCGTTTCCCCCTTTGTTTCTGCATCTGCTGCTAATTTCTCACACGCCGCCATATTTCTGTACTTGCTGTTGGTTATTCCCATCACAATCTTTGCGTCTCTGTTGCCACATTCTTCCTGTCCCTTGCTTAGTTTCTACGACTGCTGCTATCTCTCACCTGCTGCCTCCTTTCTGTGTTTCTTTTTTTTAAAGAAGATTTTATTTATTTTATTTACTTCTAGAGAGAGAAGAAGGGAGGGAAGAAGAGAGGGAGGGAAACATTGATATACAAGAGAAACATTGATTGGTTGCCTCTCACACACCCCTAGCTGGGGACATGGCCTGCATCCCAGGCATGTGCACTGACTGGGAATCGAACCGGTGACCTTTAGGTTCGAAGCTGGCACTCAGTCCACTGAGCCACACCAGCCAGGGCTAATTTTATTATTTTAAAAAAGATTTTTAGAGAGGGGAAGGGAGAGACAGAAACATTGATGTGAGGAAGAAACAGTGATCAGTTGCCTCTAGCATGTCCCCAACTGAGGACCTGGCTCTCAATCCTGGGAATCGAACCAGCAACCTTTCAGTTCACAGGCCAGCGCTCAGCCCAGAGCCACGATGGCCAGGGCTTGACTTACTTCTAACCCCACATTTTGCAAGTCTTGTTCTGTGCCCCCTGCTGCCTTGTCCCCCACCCCCCGCCAATTATTCCGACCTGCTTGCTGCCACGTTTCTCTCCTCAACCCCCATGATGCTTTCTGCCATGATCTTTTCTCTGTGCTGCTAATTCTTTCCACTGGATGCTTCTTTTGCTGTTCTCACTGTCACATTTCTTCCACCTGGTGCCTGTTAGTGACCCTTCCACTGTATATTTGTCATTACCTGCCTCCTGTCTCCCCTGCCCTTCGGCCCATGCTGTCCTCTGCAGCCATGTGATCCTCTCTCTTTCCCCAACCCTGGGCTGCCTTTTTCGACCCACTGCTGTGTTTCTAAAACTTGCTGTCTCATTTCTCCCCCAGCCACAGTTTTCTGGTCTGCTTCTTTTCCTCCTGATTCCATGGCCTAGGTTCTGGGCTTGCTGCCACAGCTCAGCCCAGCTGACAGGCAGTCACCCTGCTCCCCAACCTGGTTTTTCCCAGCCTTGGGAGCCTGACCCCGATGGCCCTCCCCCTCCCAGCTGTTGTCTGCCCTTTTGCTGGGGGGGGGGGCTATTCTTAGGCCCCCAGCACGTGGGGAGCAGCTGCGACAGGGGGTGGGGAGGGCTGGGCTGCCCTAGGGTTTCTTGGGGACACCTCCCACCTGACTGGGCTCCAGACCCCACCCCAAAGCAGAAGCTGTGAATGAATGAAGAACCACTGTATCTCTCCCCTCCAAGCCCCAACCTGTCTGCCCTTCAGCCCTCTGCCACACAGCCCTGTCCCTTGGCCGCAGCCACCTCTCCGTGCTTATCCTTCAGCCCTCATCTGGAGCCCTGGGGCTGTCCCCTCCTCTCTTTAATCCCTGGCTCTGTGCACTGAAACTGTCCCCTGGGTCCGCCTGCCAACCTCTCCTCCCTTCATCAGTATTCCATCTTCCTCTCTCTCTTTCTCTCTGAGACATGAGGCTGCCTCTCTTCTGTGTCTGAACTCTGTCTCTCTCTCTCTCTCTACTGCTCTAGTCTTTGGGGGCTGGGGGGAACCACCATCACCTTTGGGGACACTCAGTCTCTCTCTCCATCCCTCTCTCCCTTGTCTGCCTGTCCAGCTCACTCCGCAAGCGGCACTGTTTATAGACACAATGATGACAATGATAATAATAACCACAGCGATCATGGCTCATGAAGTGCTAACTTCATGCCAAGAACTGAGTCGAAGACTTCGTCCACTGTTCCATCCTCTCACAGTCCAATCGGGCAGACGCTGTTGGCCAAGGTCACATGGACAGGAAGTCCAGGAGCCAAATCTGAACTTTGGGCTCTGGAACCCCTACTCTGGCCGGCTGCCTCACTCCAACTCCACCACCCCTGGGTTCTGGCTGGTTGTCTGTCCTTCCTTCCATCTAGCTCTTTTTCTCTCTCTGGGTATGAGGATCTTGGCCTTTTGGAGCCATCTTTTAGTCTGTCTTGTACCGGCTGTCTGTCTGTCTGTTTACCAATGTCTCGCAGCTTGGGGTTTACTCACCTCCCCCACGGGGTCCTGTATCTAAGTGTCCATCACACCTCCTCTCTGCCTGCTTGGGAAAGTACCAGGTCATCCCACCCTTCTGTCTATGCCTCCCTCTTTCCCGGGGGCCGTGTCCCCCACCCCACCCCTTCTCCGCCTGTTGCCCCCACCCTGACTGAGGGCTCCCACCTACCTGCCCTCGGCTCAGCCATTTCCCACCTTGCAGCCCTTGCTGTTCATGGAGTCCAGTGTCCTCTTCAGAGCCGGGGTCGGGGGCTCGAGCAGCTCCACCTGGGTCCTCACTCCCTGCTCCGTGTACGGTCCCACCAGGTAGTAGTTGTCGCCCCACTCATCTCCTGTCACCTTCGCCTTCGTCTGCAGCACCGTGTAGATGCCACCCACTGTGGGCCCAAGCCCATAAGGACAGGCCCCGGCTGAGGTCCACGTGTCTGGGCCCTGGGGCAGGGTAGGGGGCCATGGGAGGCGCTGGGGGCCCGGACTTCTGGCTTAGACAGAAGGGGGGGACTGGGGTCCCGTCAGAGGGAGGAGGAAATAGGGGCTGGAGGACAGTCCTCCCGGGTCTAAGGGAAAAGAAGGGGGCTAGGCGAGGGGCTTTGAGGGAGGAGGGGGGCTCAGGCCAGACTTCTGAGTCTGAGATAAGGGGCTGGGAGCCTGAGCTCCTGGGTCTGAGGGAATGAGGCGCTGGGGCCCCAAGGAAGACAGACGCTGCCGCGGATGACCAGGACCCATGTTCTCGAGTTCTCAGCTTACAGGAGCTGGGTCTAAATTCTCAGTGAGGCTCCAGTTAGGGCCCTATTCAGCTTCCCACAGTTGCCCAAGGAAAGTTGGAACTGGCATTCCTTGCCCTCCAGAGACTCTGCTAACCTGTCCCCCAGTTTCCTCTCTCCAACTGGGGACACAGGCAGATGGGACCCTGCCACTCCTCTTCAGACCCAGGAGGCTGGGCTCCCAGCGGTCTTGCCTCCTAGAGCCTGGGCCCTGGTGATACACGACTCTGTGTTCACGGGCCCCTCCCATGGTGCAAAACCCAGTCCCTTTCCCAAGATGCAGCTAAGCAAAAACCCCCACCTCCCTCCCTTCTGAGGAACAAGACCGCCTAGTCTGTGGGCTTCGGGCCCCTGCTGGTTCTCCACACCCAAAACCTCAGGCCCTGTGGAGCCCGGGGCACAGAGATCCAGGGCCCCAGCCACTCCCATCCCAGGGCCCAGCCCCTGACCAACTTAGGACTTTCCAGCCTTCCCTCATTCCAGTATCCAAGTGTCTGTGGCCACAGGCTCCTCTCCTTCTAGGAACTCTGAGCTCAGGCCTACAGCTCCTTTAGAGCCTGCGAATTCAGGCCCCCACCTCTGTCCCACTCTAGGATCTAAGATTAGGGCCTTCGGTCCTCTCCCTTCTGTACTCTCAAGTGACCCATTCCCCTGTTCTCCAACCGTGACTTATGTCCCAGTCAGCTCTCTCCCAGATTCGGAGGGCCACAGGTCTGAAACCCAGCCATTTCCCAGTTTTGCACTAAGAAGTGCCAACCCCCCATCTCTTTTCCCGTTCAGGACCCAGATCTCTCAGAAACCTCCAGGAGGGACCTAGGAATCTTTCAGATTAGCCCCTCTTTGCTAGGACCCAGGACCGCAGCTTCCAGCCTCCCTTTATCTTAACAGTCAGGAGGCTCATCTCCACCCCTCCACAGCCCGGGAGACATATCCCAGCCCCTCCGCAAGGACACAGGAGTCATAGGCTCCTTGCCCAGAACCCAGGAGTCAGGCTATGTAGCCCCGTCCCCTTATCTAAACTCGAGTCCCCGATCCCCACCCCCAGACTGCCCTTCTCGTCCGGGTCCCGCCGCCTGGCGTGCTCACCTTTGTTGGCCACCTCCCAGGCCACTTCGAAGAGCACTGCGTTCTCCAGGTCGAATTCATCCTCCCACTCTTCCAGTCCTGGCAGTGAGGACATGGACAAAGTGCGGTTAAGAGGCATGGCGGACGCGGGAAGGGAGTTCCAGGGGCCACAGGTTGGGGCTCCAGAGGTGTCTGTGGAATGCACCCGGTAAGGTGTGGGGCCAGGTAACTGCTGTTCGAAGGGAAGCTTGCAACGCCCTCGGCTTCCTATTGCACGACCGCACCCCCGGACCTAAGCAAGAGGCGGCTGCAGCGTCACTGAGCCCTGTGGGGCCCCTGCAGTAAAATCTTGCAGCCGCCAGGAGGCGGTGCCCTTCCCATCGGCTAACGCCATTGGTCTACATCCGGGGGCAGGGCTCCCACGTCTCCTCATTGGTGGACAGCTTAGGGCTTGCTCTGCCCCACTACCGCCTAGGCGGTCGCTGCGTTAGCCGATTGGCCTTTCGTTCTGTCAATCCGGAGCTGGAGGCCCTCTAAATCACCGGGAGAGGGAAGTGGGTGGAATCAGGAGAGGGAGCGTGGAGGACGTGTGGTTGCTCAAAGAAGTGGGAAGAATTTTGCAATCGGCCTCAGCTAGAAGGCTTGGGTAAAAGGAGGAGGAGCCAGGAGGGAACAGACCCAGGAGTTTCGGCCTAAAAAGTGACGTCTAATCCCCACAAGGAGAGTTTGCATATTTATGAGGAACCACCGAGATCTTTGGAGGATCTGGTAGTCTAGAGGGGCTAGAACGCCTCGTTCTTAGCGCGCTTCCGTTTCCGTTAGGATATTGGCGGTTGGTGAGCATCATGGCAACAGTGGTGAGTGTCGGCGTGCTGAGGACGGAGGAGCGAACCCGTTATCCCGAGTCTGAGGGAGGAGCAGCTGGGGACTAGGACTCCTGGGTCTGAGGGAGCGGGAGGGCAGGGCCCCGGAGCCCTGGGTTCCAGTGGATATTTACGGCCTCTTAGGTCAGCTCGGACGGCGACTCCAACTTCCAGTCCTCAGGGCGCAATGACCAGTTCTGCCGTCCTTTGCCCTGAGGTCTGTTGAGGGTTTTAGTGTCTTGGGCTCCAACTCATCCAGGAATCTTTGAGTTATTAGTGGTGGGAATGGCAGCTGAGTACTAGGGAGAATCGCAGGCGGGACTTCAGAGCGTGGAGTCGGTGAGTGAATCTTGAACCAAAAGAGTGTTGAGCCCTGGTTGGTGTAGCTCAGTGGAATGAGCGCGGGCTGTGAACCAAAAGGGTCGCCGGTTCGATTCTCAGTCCGGGCAGATGCTTGGGTTGCAGGCCGGGTCCCCAGTGGTGGGGAGTGGCGTGCGAAAGGTAACCACACATTGATGTTTCTCTCCCTCTCTCCTACCTTTCCCCTCTCTCTAAAAATGAATTTTAAAAAGAAAGAGTTTAAATTTAAAAAAAGAAAGTGTTGAAAACTCAGAGGGTCTCAGTTGGAGAAGGGAAAGGGGCTCGGCCCCCCCTTAGATTTCCAACACCCAGTGTGGCTGCTTAATAAATTACCACTTAAATCTTCAAATGAATGGATGGATGGATGAGTGTGAACTCTGTAAAGGAGAGACCAGTGAACTTGGGGCTGTCGCTGAGTACTCCCTCACATCTGAATGGAGCCCCCCCACTGGCGCGAGCCCCCAACTGGCGCGCCTCGCTGGATTGGGTGCCCTCCTACAATCTGGCTCATCTACCAGGACACAGTCCTGGGTTTCTGGCCTGGTCCCTGCTTGGGGTGAGGGCGAGAGGCAGCCTATCCGTGTTTCTCGGGCACATTCCTGTTGCTCTCCCTCTCCCTCACTCTCTCCCTTAAAGTAAATAAAAATGAAACTTAAAAAAACCCACACACAAATCTGCATGGAGAAGGGATGTGGCCTTAGCTGAGGGGTTGGACTGTGTTCCCATGGTGACTCCAGTGTATGTAGGGGGAAGGGTGGGGTGAGAGTTACTGGGAGGGGTATGAAATTTGAGACTTGCTGTTTCTGTGCTGGTCTCTTGCCTAGGGGGTGGATAGGGAAGCAGAAGAGGAAAGGGCAGTGGCCATACTCTGGAGACCCTTTTCCCATGGGCGTGGATGAAGTATTGGAAGTATGGGGGGTGAGTGCTGCATTTTAAAATACCCTCTGTTTCCAAGGGGTTAGTGGGCTCCATCGGAGAGGCTTAAGGTGAAAGGCTAGACCTGCTAAGAGGTGGGTCTATTTAGTTGGGATTGCTGAGGGTTGGGATTCTTGGGAGGATTTCTATTTTTGGCCTCAGGTAAAGTCTGATGGGCTGTGTAGGAGTGTGTGTGGGGATGTTCTCAGGTTTGGGGGCAGTGACCAATGGTCTTGGGTTCCACCTTTGTGGGGGTGGGGAGCGAGTGGGAGGGGCCGCAACAACAAGGGAGGAACCTTGTGACCACATGAATGGAGGTCAGAAAGTCTTACACTCCTGGTTCCAGAGACCCAAGGGTTCCCTTAAGTTGGATGCCTGCATCTCCTCTTATTCTGGTGGAAGGAGAGAGACTTGTGGGGAGGAAGGAAGGAAGGTTGGGGTGAGGTGGCCAAGGAGCAGGGTCAGTGTGGTAGCTTCTTAAGCTTCGCTTATTAGATGATACAAAATAGTCCCAAGTATCAGAAAATAATAGAGCCAACACCCAAGAACCCATCACCCAGATTTTTAAAAAACAGCTTTACTGAGATATAACTCATATCTCATACAATTTACCCATTTAAAAGATATTGTTCATTAGCTTTTAGGACATTCACAAAATTGTTCAGTTTTAGAACATCTTCGGGACCCCAGAAAGAAACCCTACTCCTCTTACGCCCACCCTTCAGTCCTCCCATCCCCCAGCCCTAGGCAGCCACTACTCACCTTTCCATCTCAGTGGCTTGGCCTGTTCTGGACATTTCATGTCAATGACGTTTTACAACATGTGGTCCTTCGGTCCTTTGTGTTTGGCTTCTCTCGCTTAACATGTGTTCAAGTCAGAACTTTGTTCCTCTTTATAGCTGAATGATACTCCATTATATGGCTATACCACACAGTTTTCGTGTTTTTTTTTTTTTAAAGATTTTATTTATTTTTAGAAAAAGGGGAAGGGAGGGGGAAAGAGGGAGAGAAACACTGATGTGAGAGGGAAACATTGATCGGTTGCCTCTTCTACACCCCCGACAGGGGACCGAATCTGCAACCCAGGCATGTGCCCTGAATGGGAATTGAACCAGCAACCTCTCACTTTGTGGGATGACACCCAACCAACTGAGCCACACCGGTCAGGGCTGGTTATAACGAACTATTTATTTCTCTGTTCACTAGTGGATAGACATTTTGGAGTTTTTCCACCCTTTGCTTATAATAATGCTGTTATTAGCATTCACCTGGCTCTCCAGTGGGTTCTAATGGACTACGGTGTTGTTCACTCATCTCCCTCCCCGACATGGGAAGGGCTGGTGGCTGGCTTCTCTCTTTGGAGAGGTTGGGACGCCGGGGTCCTGAGCACTGACCTTTGGAATGAGCTCAGAAATTTACTGTGTTATTCACTCAAACCCCAAACACTGAGGCCTGAGGTGCACAAGTGAGGCTTGGGCTGTGCCTTTCAGGGACGCACACCCACCCGAGCCAAGAACATCCATCTAACCGTCTCCCTCGGGAGAGTGAGATCCCACAGGGAGGTTGGACTCCCAGCCGAGGCCCTTCTGCCTGGGCACCCAGAAACCCTAGACCTGACCTGGCAGGGTCAGGGATTAGGGAGGGCCCCCTCAGGGAGCACAGCTTGGTCTGGTTCAGTGAGGGGTGGGGAGAGCAGGCAGGACTCCAGGGCCGGCCCGTATGTCCCACGCCCTAGTGGCAGAGCTGGGGTGTCCAGTGCGGGAGGGGCAGGGGGGCCTGCAGGTCCAACCACCCCCAGCAAGATGCCTGCTCTGGGTTAGTGTTTGTCCTCACACTGATTCTTCCTTCACCAAGCAGTTCTGTGCCCCAAATATGGGCGAGGCCGTGGGGACAGAGCTTTGAATGGGACACAGTCCTCGTCGTCCTGGGACTCAGAATGCAGAGGGTCACCCAGGCAGCTGAGAGGGTGGCAGTGGCTGGAGGTGGGGCTGTCGGCCTGGTCTTGGAGAGGAGTGGAGGGTACTTTCTCATGGGAGGTGGCAGGAGGGACAGAAGAGTGTTTGGTGGAAACGGGGACCATGAGGGCTCTTCTGACATGTCTTCCTTCTTTCACTCCCAGACGGCCACCACCAAGGTCCCAGAGATCCGCGATGTGACGAGGATCGAGCGCATTGGTGAGTGGGCATGGAGCAGAGCAGGACCCTGCCTGCCCTGTGCTCCTCTTCAGAGCCAACCTGCCCTGCACCACGAGAGGCATGAGTGGGCGCTCTAGCTCCCTATCTGGTGGGGGAGGATCCTGAGTGCCCAACAGGGGTCAGAGGGCACCACGCTGGACCCCAATCCCAGGCTGCAGGCTTTGCCACCCTGTGGACTTCTGGGAGAACCAGCACCCTGCTTGGCAGTCACAGGAGTGGACAGTTGCTGAGTGTGTTCTGGGTGTGGCTCTGTGCTGAACGTCCTGTCCACCCAGCATTCACTTGGGCAGTGTGAGCTCCCTGCGGGTCAGGACCTGGCCTGGCTCATTCCCAGCAGGTGACATAGAAAACCACTGAGGGCACGGGTTCGCATCCCGCTGGTCCTCACAGTTGCCCACGAGGTGCAGAGTGTGAGGTCATTCCAGTGCAGCCGGGGTAACTGAGACGCAGAGCTGTCAGTCACCAGTCCCGGCTCACACCACAGGGCGCCTGGGCTCCAGGAACAGGAGTTGGGGTGCAGCAGGGCCGGCTGGGCGCAGCCTTCACAGAGAGCCTTCCTTGCAGACTGTGCTCATTGGTTCAGATTTATTCACTCAGTTCCTACAAGGCAGGCAGGCCGGGCCTGCCTCGTGAGCTCCTTCACAGCACAAAGATGACTTGTTGAAAGGTTAGATGATGGTTAGCCTTTTGTAGCGATAAAGTGTTTTAAAATCAGTTATGTCTAATACATCATAAGTATTACTTTCATATGCACAGGGAAACAAAATTTCCTCCAACTCGTGTTATTGCAGGGGTCTAGACCAATTCCACAATATCCCTGAGAGATCCCTTCACAGGCTTGTGGCTACCAGCCTGGTTTCTAGAAGCATATTGCTGGGTGCCACTTCTGAGCCAAATAGCTCAGCTAGGTGCTCTCCAGGCCTCAGTTTCCTTATCTGCCAAATGAGGGTAGACTAGTTCCCCTGCTTCAGTAACGTGAAGTCCTTCCCGCGCAGGCGCCGATGCTGTGTCCACACTGCTGGGAGCCCAGGACCCAGCAGACACTAGTGGCGCCCAGGAGCTGCCCCAGTCCCTGCCCTGGGGGTGCTTGTGGTCTAGTGTGGGGTCGACAGATCCTCTCTTAAAGGGTCAGAGAGTAAATCTTTTTTCTGTTGAAAAGATTCAATTCTCCTGTTGCAGGGGGAAAGCAGCCCCAGACAGTACAAGTAAATGGGCGTGTTTGTCCCAATAAATCTTTATTTACAAAAACAAGTGGCTGGACCCCAGGCTGTAGTTTCTCCAGTCCCACTGTAGTGTAAAGCATTGAATCCCGAGTCTGCACTCCTCACTGGCTGTGGATCCTGGGCAACAGACCTGACCTCTCTGAGCCTCTTCTGCACCCATGTTGGTGAGAGCCCGGGGTAGTTACAGAACCCCAGAAGCACTCCCAGGGGATAGTAGCTGGGACCACTGTTTCTCGGGGTTACGTGAAAGGAAATGAGAACCTGTGAGGCCACACAGGTCAAAGCACATAGTAACTGTGGTCCTTAGCCTTCCAGGTTAGTCCTGACCGACCCCGTGGTTCACCAGGCCCAGGGACTCCGGTCCAGCTCTGAGGGATTCTGAGAAGAGCCCCTCTCCTTCACTGAGCATTTCACAAGCCCTGCCATCCCTCCAGTGAGGTGGGGAACTCCAGGGTCCGGAGGGGAACTTGTCACCTCGGCCACACACTGCTAGGAGCTGGCCAATAACTGTGTCTCCTGCTTCCCTCTCTGCACACAGGAGCTCACTCCCACATCCGGGGACTGGGGCTGGATGACGCCTTGGAGCCTCGGCAGGTAGAGCTGATCTGGGTGGGTGGGAAGCCTGCTCTGTGGAGGGCCCCCGGGAGTATGGGGGCTGTTACATTTCTCTGGACCTTTAGCTCCGTATTTATGAAATTCAGCCACATACAGAGTTCTATTGGGCTGAAAAAAATTGTGGTAGCAAAGGCTTTTTGGCTTTTCCCCGATGTCCCTCCAAACATCTGCTTCCGTGTCCTAGGCCGGGAGGTGGTAGAGATGGGGGTGGCCCTGCAGGAAGGCAGCTGTTCTGCTCTCTGGCCCCCCACCCCACAGGCCTCCCAGGGCATGGTCGGTCAGCTGGCGGCCCGGCGAGCAGCTGGCGTGGTGCTAGAGATGATCCGGGAAGGGAAGATCGCTGGGCGGGCGGTGCTCATCGCCGGCCAGCCTGGTACTGGGAAGACAGCCATCGCCATGGGTAAGTGACCTCTCGGGACAGGAGCTGTGCTGGGCTCTTCCAGAGAAACCCCCGTGTGAGTCAGGTCCAGATTCAGCCCCTTATAACAGGCACCCCGAAATGGCTGCAGCTTATCCACGTAGGGTTCACTCCCTCACGTGGAGGAATCTGTACATGGGCAGGTAGGGCTTGCTGAGCAATTCTGTGAAGTCTTCTACCTTCCTGCCTCAACATTCTTGGCACTGATTTCCATGTGGGGGTCACCTCGGGTTCCAACAGGGTTGCCTAAGCTCCAGTCTTCTCATCCATACTCCACGTAACAGGGAAAAGAAAGGAATTGCAATAAAGTTCTACTTCCTAGATGTAGCTCCCTTTAAGCACTTGACTTGGGGGTCCCACACACTTTTGCTCATATTTTACCAACTAGATTTAGAGAGATACATTAATGGGCTGCACGCACCCAACTGGGCACCTGCCCTGCAGCCCAGCAAAGTGCCTGACTGAGATTCGACCTGGCAACCTTTCAGTTCGCAGGCTGGTGCTCAACCCACAGAGCCACACCAGCCAGAGCAATTTTTTTTATATTTAATAACATGAGGGTTCTGGAACTAAGGAAGAAGGAGAAGATGGGCATCCAGTAGATAATCAGCGGTCTCTTTTGCATTCCACTAGTGATTTAAGATGTTTTTACACATAACTGCCCATCATCCTCCTTGTCTGTCCTTCCGAAGCCTATTCCAGTGTCTCTTCCTCATTAGACCCTTCCCCCAGCCTCCTCCCCTCCCACTCACTCCCACCTGTGTGCCCTGACGGAGAGGTCAGGCAGCAGTGCAGTGGGAGCTGGGTTTTTAGCTGAGACGAGGCAGCGCTCACATGGATGCCCTGGTGTGCCAGGCCCTGGACAGACGCTGGGGATACAGAGATGAGGAAGACCCAGGTCCTGGCTTTAAGGAGTGTCCTGTCTGGGGAGAGGGTGGTCGACACATTCTCTTCCAGGGTGATGTGTGCTGTGCGGATAGAGGAGGGCGGGCAGCTGTCAGGAGAAGCTTCACAGATATGTCAGCCCCTGAGCTGGGACTTGCAGGCTGTCCGGAAATGTCCCAGACAGACCACAGGGAGCAGGATGTCCAGGTGCAGAGCGTGGCACCCCTGAGAAGGTGACCAGGAGGCATTGCCACTGCTCACTGGTCAGGAGGGTTCTGTGACTCCTGTCTGTGGAACTCAGCTCAGAGCTGAGCAGATCCCTGGAGAGGGGCTGCCGGGTGGGGAGCTTGGGTCTTGTGGTCACTGGGGACACAGCCCTGCGGTCGCCTGCCAGCTGCGGGCCTCACCCCGTAGAGCAGGCCTGGCCCTCCGCTGGTAAGATTGTAGGCTCATAAAGTGCCCCCCCCCCCAGAATGGTGTAGGTTTCTAATGCAGCGTGCTGTTGAGGCCCGTGTCCCTGGCTTTCTTTGCGTCACCCTGTCTGCACGCAGCAGGAAGAGTTGGTGTCCCCCAGAATTGGTGTCAGGACCTGGTGCCAGGGCCGCACCCCATCCACCCCAACTGTCTCCTCCCCAGGCATGGCGCAGGCCCTGGGCCCCGACACCCCGTTCACAGCCATCGCGGGCAGCGAGATCTTCTCCTTGGAGATGAGCAAGACGGAAGCGCTAACGCAGGCCTTCCGCAGGTCCATCGGCGTTCGCATCAAGTAAGCACGGGGCGGGAGTGGGGGTGGGGCGGCTCCTGGTGGTCTCCGGGCAACCCCTATCCTGGCCCCTTGTCCTGTGCCCAAGAGCTCGTGTGAGTTAGCGATTCCCAAGAGCCCAGGTGTCAGGCGCTCTCCTCAGATGTGCTCTCTGGCTAGGGAGGAGACGGAGATCATCGAAGGGGAGGTGGTGGAGATCCAGATCGATCGGCCAGCCACAGGGACGGTGAGTCGGCGCCCAAGTCCGGGCCACCTACAGGCTGCAGGGTGGTCGGGGTATCAAGTGTGAGCTGAGGTCAGAATCCCGTGGAATGTTCCAGCCTCAGATGGGAGCACCTGCCTGCCTGCAGTAGGGGGTCACTAATCAAAGGAGCCATTGATTGATTTGTGAGGGACACCATGGTGGCGAAAACCAAGTGGTGGAGTAAGCAGAGGTCTGGGGGCCGTTCACAGTGGATTGCTGAAGGGCCGTAGGCCCGGCCACCCGGCACCTGCACAGCGTAGTACTGAAAGCTGAAGACTTTTTTGTTGTAAAGTAAAACAAATACAAAGTAACATGTAAAAGAAGCATGTAGTCTAATAAATTATCATAAACCAAATCCCTTATAACCACCACCAAGACCAAAAACTAGAACTTTGCCAGCCCCATGTCCCTTCCCCCTTTTTCCAACACCGCCCAGGTCTGCCCACAGGTCGCCTCCCTCACGGTTATTGTGTCTTTGCTTTTGCTTAGTTTTCTTTCCAGCTGCAAACGGCCCAAAACTGCAGCTCTCTGGAGTCTGTTCTCATGGTCTGGTCTCCTCTTCATCTCTCTCTTTTTTTTTTTAAGATTTTTTATTTATTTAGTTTTAGGCAGAAGAAGGGAGAGAAACATCACTGTGTGGTTGCCTCTCGAATGTCCCCCTACTGGGGACCTCACCCCCAACCCAGGCATGTGCCCTGACTGGGAATCGAACCAGTGACCCTTTGGTTCGCAGAGTGGCGCTCAATCCACTGAGCCACACCAGCCAGGGCCTCTTTTTTTTTTACCTAACAATTTATCTGTCAGTCTTTCTTTTGAATTGAGGTAAAATTATGTAACATAAAATTTACCATTAACCAATTTATTTATTTATTTATTTATTCATTTTAAGATTTTATTTATTTTTAGAGAGAGGGGAAGGAAAGGAGAGAGGGAGAGAAAGAAACATTAATGTGTGGTTGCCTCTTATGCGCTCCCTACTGGGGACCTGACTTGGCCCGCAACCCAGGCATGTGCCCTGACTAGGAATCAAACTAGCCACCCTCTGGTTCACAGGCCTGTGCTCAATCCATAACACCTACACCAGCCAGGGCACCGTTAACCATTTTAAAGTCACTCTCCCTCCCTCCTGTCCCTAGCCCTGGCCATAATGAATCTGGCTTCTGTCTCTAGATTTGCCGATTCTGGGGATTGCCTGCAACTGGGATCCTACAGTCTAGCTTCTTCCACCCGGCTGGTGTGTTCGAGGTCCCCCCATGTTTGTAGTTCTCTCATAAATATTAAGTTGCGGCTGCTGGTAAAATGCTAAATAAAAGGAAATTCAAACATGTTTCAAGCCCATTGACCTGACGTGTGGTCACCTTCTCTCTCTGTCTTGTCATATCGACAACGCTCCTCCCTATCCGCTGTTCGTTTTCAGTGGGGATGGAACTGACGTGCATGATGACATTGCCTCACATTTTAACACCTGTAAACAGCCTCTTAAATTCACACCATTTATTGGCAATTAAATTTTGAATTTAAAAAATGTAGTAGAACTTGGAGTGATGAGGCACAAAGTACAATATACACATGATATACTGTAGAATTGAATGCATGAAACTTACGTAATTTTATTAAGCAACCGTGCCTCAATATAAAAAAATAAACAAAGATATAGTGAGCTATTTAAATATAGGGAAAGCTATTCATTCTTTAAATTAGATTCTGATTACAGAAATCCATGGGTACATCCTCCCTTTAAAAATGAAAAAGTCACCCTGGCTGGTGTGGCTCAGTGGATTGAGTGCTGGCCTACAAAACACAAGGTCAGGTTGCTGGTTCAATTCCCAGTCAGGGCACATGCCTGGGTTGCGGGCCAGGTCCCCAGTACAGGACACGTGAGAGGCAACCACACATTGATATTTCTCTCCCTCTCTTTCTCCTTCTCTTCCCCTCTCTCTAAAAATCAATCAATGAATTCTTTGGGGAAAAAAATTAAAAACACAAGCTCCCTTTAACTTCTTCCCCAGTGCCAGCCCTCTTGTCCTGCTACCCGTCCCTACAAAAGGTGCAGAAGCCCACAGTGGAAACAATGCAGGAAAACGAGAGGTGGTTGGGTGGCTGGGGGAAGCCTAGGAAGTATTGGTGGCTTCTCTTGTGGGGTGACAGGTGGCATTTTTGTTTTCTTTGCTGTGTTTAGCTTAGCTCTGTTGTCTGGATTTTTGATTGACACCCCCCCCCCCAAAAAAAAGAAAACACCTTTTATTTGGGTATAAAAGAGGAATGTCATCTGAGTCCAGGCCCCCTTGGCCATTTCATGGGACCCCCAGGCCTGTGTTGTTTTGTCTGTTTACTGGGTTTTTCACAATAGCTTTGTTGAGGTGCATTTGACATCCAAGAAGCTGCTGACGTTAAACATTTTAGGGGGTTAAGTTGTGACAGTGGTGTGCACCCGTGAAGCCGCCGCCATGGTTGTGGCAGTGATTGCACCCCTCCCCCCTCAAGGCTTTCCCGCATCTGCTTGTTTTGAAGCTGTGCTGGAGAGACACCGGGACCTTCACTAAGCCCTTGCCTGGTATGTCACCCCTTTCAGGGCTCCAAGGTGGGCAAGCTGACCCTCAAGACCACAGAGATGGAGACCATATACGACTTGGGCACCAAGATGATCGAGTCCCTGACCAAGGACAAGGTCCAGGCCGGGTGAGCGGCGTGGGGGCCGCAGCAGATGCCCAGGGTGCGGGGGGCATCTTGGGCGCCTCCCTCCCCTCACCCCTGCCCTCCTTCCCCTGCAGGGACGTGATCACCATCGACAAGGCCACGGGCAAGATCTCTAAACTCGGCCGTTCCTTCACCCGCGCCCGAGACTATGACGCCATGGGCTCTCAGGTGCGGTGGGGCGCTGGGGACCCCCTGACTCCAGGCACCAGGATGTTCCCCCAGATCTCCTGTCACCCATCCCTGTGTCCCCAGTACTCCTCCTTCTCCTCTGTACGCTCCAGGACGGGGAGGCCCCTCCGCTTGGTACTGAGTTCATGGTTTGGGAGGTCCCCAGGGACCCCCGAATCCTGGAGTGCTCTTGATGACCTCCTGGGCCCAGGGTTTCCAGGCTACCCTCATCTGGATTCCCAGCTCCTTTCCAGGGTGCCCCAGGCTCCCACACACAGAGCCCCTTTGGGCCCCCCTTCACATTCTCCTCTGCCCTTGTCTCTGCCCCGCCCCACAGACCAAGTTCGTGCAGTGCCCAGATGGGGAGCTGCAGAAGCGCAAGGAGGTGGTGCACACCGTGTCCCTGCACGAGATCGACGTCATCAACTCCCGCACCCAGGGCTTCCTGGCCCTCTTCTCGGGTGAGGCCCTGCCATCCCCCCTCATGCACCCTCCATGCATGCCCATCCTCCCATACAGTCCTCTTCCCCTACCCGGGGCTTCCTCAGTCCCTGTTGGCTGTCACGTGCTTTCTCCCTCCTCCTCTGTTGCTGAGTCCCTGTCAGGCCGTCTGATGGTGGCACAGCCCTACCCTCTCTCCCTTCTGAGGTCCCTTCTCCTCTCCGGGGACATTTTAGACCCCTGGCCCTCCTGTCCCTCTGCCACTCCAGACTTGGTCTCCCTTCCCTCGGTCCCTGGTGCCTCATCTTCCTCCTTCACCCACCTCTGGCCCCCGGATCCCTGTTTCCGTTCTGACAGCCTCCCCCACACCCCCCTGCCTCCTACAGGCGACACAGGGGAGATCAAGTCAGAAGTCCGAGAGCAGATAAATGCCAAGGTGGCCGAGTGGCGCGAGGAGGGCAAGGCGGAGATCATACCTGGAGTGCGTACCGGGTGTGGCCGCTTGGGGTGAGCAGCAGCGGGAGAAGAGGGGCCCTGGGCGTGGGTGTGACGCTCCCCCTGGTGGCCCCCAGGTGCTGTTCATTGACGAGGTCCACATGCTGGATATCGAGAGCTTCTCCTTCCTCAACCGGGCCCTGGAGAGTGACATGGCGCCTGTCCTCATCATGGCCACCAACCGCGGCATCACCCGGTGAGCTGGCGGGCAGGGCCCCAGGGTAAACGGGCGTTTGCCATGCACCCTGGGTGGAAGGGGTGGGCCTGGCTGCTGTGGCAGCCTGCCCACAGGGGCCGCGACTCAGAGGGGCTGCACTTCTCCCTCAGGGTGGGCGGGCAGTCGAGGCCGGAAGGCAGCTCTGCTCCATAAGGAAGCCCAGCGACCGAGGTTTCTGTCTTAAGGGTATAGTTTCTCAGGCTGTGTGCCGAGGCACCCAGGGTACTGCATTAAGCCCAGAATTCCAAGGGGTGGTTTCGGTGGTGGCAGAGGGATGCACAGGGGCGTCTGTTGCACACTGATCAGCCCACTGCAGTGAGGTCTCAGACCCAACTCCTTAATCCATGAGGTGGAGCTTAGTGTTTTTTTCTGTCCTGAGGACACTGTGGGGAAGTCCTGAAACAGGAAGGGCACCAAGCTCTGATAAAGCTTGGGAGCCTCTGTCTTGGGGTGTCGCCAGTGTCCCGGGCCCTGCTGGCCTCCCAGCTGGCTCTCTCCCTCACCTCACCTGTGTTGCCGTTCAGAGGAAGGGAGAAGGAAGTGGGGAGCAAACAGCGCCCCTGTGTTGTCCCCCCCACCCGCAGGGGCCCAGAGGCTGCACCTACCACTGCCACTGAGACCCATTTTCCTGTCCCACTCAGCATCTTGGCTGTGCCTCATGGCACAAGAGGCCGGGGACTGTCATCTCCAGTGCTGTAGTGTCGTGCCAGCTGACACTGCCTGGTGGGGCTGGTCACCACCTGGGGGAAGAGAGGGGTGTGGCCACCGGGAGCGAGGCAGACTTTTCCCAGATAAACTGCTCCGAGCCTCAGCGGAGGCTCAGGGCGTGGATATTGTCTCAGCCCCTTTACAGATGGCCGCCAGGTCTGGTGACATGTGCAGGGCAGATGTAGGGTCTGACCTCCAGAGGACTGGGCACCAGAAGAGACCCGCTGAGAGTGTGTGTGTGGCAGCTGCAGCTCAGGGTGTGGGAGCGGCGCTCAGGCACCTCACCCCTCCTTCCCCGCAGATTGTGTCTGTGGGTCTGCTTCCTCGCTACAATGCACCTGCGTAGACAAGGCGCCGCTCTGCCTTCCACTGTCAGTTCGTGTGCTGTGGACAGGTTTCCTGTTCGTGATCTCTTCGGTGCCATATCTGTCACATTCAGTGCCTTTTGTTGGTGGTTTTGTTGTATAAAACGGCCCCTAGTTGTCCCATGTCCCTCAGCCCCTAAAGGTTGGGATGTGCCTTTCAGAGAAGGTGAGCTTTGTCAGGGCACGAGTTACGCACAGGTGACTGTAAGTTTGATGGATAGGAGTCAGTAACATGCATTAAATAACCTGGCTTTAAACAGAAGCACAGGTGCACGCCACCCCCGCCAGGAGCACACCCACACCTTCCCCCTCCTCTTCCCCTACAGACACTCATCTCCTAAATGCTGAGGGTCCCCACAAGACTTGCAGCCAGGGTAGTTGTGGGCAGTGGCAGCCCGTCCCGGGCTCACCCCCTGCACCTGTCCCCAAGGCCCCTTTCCTCTGACTCTCCAGTGAGACAAGGTAGCCCGGTCCAGGCGCTCCTGCTGCTGCTTCTGTGCTAAGCCCTTCCTTGTTTCACTGTGCCCTGCTTTACTCTAAAAACAAAAACAGAAGCACATCAAACCAGGCAATATACTGGGTGACAAAATATTGTGAAGGGGGCAGGCTCACAAGAACCTAACTGCGTGTTTTTCTGGGACCAGGGGTTCAGTGCCTGCTGACTGAGTCTTCACCCCATTTTATAGAACGTAACTCCCACCGATAATGAATTCTAGCGCCCGCTGTGTGCGATGGCCTGCGCTGGGCTAGGGGCAGCAGGGACCGGGTCCTTGAAGCAGTAATCCCAGACACAGCTCTCCGGCTCGGTGGGAATGATGCAGTGGGCCGTGCAGCCAGGCACTGACGTCAGCGCTGACCTGAAGGTCAAGTGGTATTTGGCCCAGTGAGTGGGCCGCGGTGTCGGAGGTGGGAGGCAAGACTCCAGGTAGAGGGAGCGAAGAGCCAGGTTCCCGGAGCACCCTGCTGACATCCCTCCCTCTCCCTATTCCATAGCATCCGGGGAACCAGCTACCAGAGCCCCCACGGCATCCCCATCGACCTGCTGGACCGACTGCTGATCGTCTCCACCTCTCCCTACAGCGAGAAGGACACGAAGCAGATCCTCCGCATCCGGTGCGGAGGGGGCCAGATGGTGGCCTGAGGGGCGGGGCCAGGCCAGGGCCCACCCTGTTTGCCAAATGGGGACCTTGAGATCTTGGGGGGTGATGACTGTCCCAAACGGTCTGGGTCTAGAAGAAGTAGGGCCAGGCAACCCGGCGGTGGCCTCTGATACTAGGTGGGGGTCCCTGTGGGGAAGGGGGTGGGGGGAGGCAAGACACCCAGGGCTTGCTGCAGTCAGAGGCCCGCCCAGTCTGAGCCCCTCGCCCCTGCTTGCAGGTGCGAGGAGGAGGACGTGGAGATGAGTGAGGACGCCTACACAGTGCTGACCCGTATCGGGCTGGAGACCTCCCTGCGCTACGCCATCCAGCTCATCACGGCCGCCAGCCTGGTGTGCCGGAAACGCAAGGTCGGCCCGCTGCTCCAAGGGCTTTGGGTTGTCGCATGTAGTCTGGGAACTCATGTGTTCAGAGGCAGGGAACTTGGGTCCCTTGGGTTATTTCCTTGTCTCCCGGCCTGACATGTGGTAGGCGCTCAGTGGCTGCGGACTGTAACCTGATGCCAAGTCCATCTCACTGAGGGAGGGAGAGCTCGGGCCTGCAGCCCACAGGTGGCGGAGGCGGGGTTTGCACCCAGGCACTGTGGCCCCAGTGTCCCAGTCCTGACCCTTCTCCTGGGAAAGGCCCCGCTGAGGCTCCCTGTCCCCCTCTAGGGCACGGAGGTGCAGGTAGACGACATCAAGCGAGTCTACTCGCTCTTCCTGGATGAGTCGCGCTCCACGCAGTACATGAAGGAGTACCAGGACGCCTTCCTCTTCAACGAGCTCAGTGAGTGTCTGACTCCCTGCCCCCCGGCTCCCCCAGTCCCAGTGTTGCTGGACAGCTCAGGCCCCAGCCTCTGGGCCACAGTGACCCCATCGCATTTCTTCTCCCCGCAGAAGGCGAGACCATGGACACCTCCTGAGCTGAGCTCCCCTCCCACCTCACCCCTCCTCCCCGTTTTCTACCAGAGTTCTGACACTGTGACTTTGTATAAAATTATTCTGAAACTGGGCCCACCGTGTGTGTGTTGTGCGCACGCACCCAAAACTCAAAGAAAGGCCGCCCCAGGGTGTGGTTTGAGAAGCCTTTATTGGGAGGGGTGGACAGGGGAGCGGCTGGACTGCTAGCTCCCGAAGCAGGAGCTGGAGCCGAGATGGGCGTGGGGAGCTGGGGGCAGGGCTCTCTCAGAGAAAGACGAGGTCTGGGAGGGTGGGGTGGTCACAGGCCAAGGGTTGGGGTCTGGGACCCCCACAGTCGGAGCTGCTGAGGCGGCAGGGCCCACAGCGACAGCTGAGGGCCACAGGGAAGGAGACCATTGGGTCCACGCCGCGTGGGCAGCCGGGGAGCCGGACAGAGGCGAACCTGAGCTCGTGGTAGGTGCACACAGGCTGGGGCACGGGCGGCAGGAGGGCTGGCAGCACCCGCACCTGGAGGCCGGGACGGGGCCTCTGCTCAGGGCCCTCTCCCGGTCTCCCCGCTGCCCCCCACGAATCTCAGACTCCCGTGTTCCTGAGACTCTCTGTATTCTCCCTCCCACACACCCAACTCTTAACTCCAGTTCCCCACCACCGGGGCGGGGGGGGTGGGGGCAGGCCACATTTCCACCCTGCTGCCATAGCCCCTCAGTGGGCCAGGTGCTGTGGGGTCCACCCTAGCGCCAAGCTGGCAGCGCCCGCCCTCTGGCCAGCAGGGCTTGTCCCCGCCCACTCTGCGCAGCTCACCATGCTGGGGCAGTAGCCAGCACAGATGCTGGTGGTGAAGGTGATGCAGACCGGGCAGGCTTCTTTCTCGGCAGCCAGGGTGGCGTTGATGGGCCGGCACAGCGGCCGCAGTGGCTCCTTGGATGCCTGCACCCCACCCGCGCTCAGCAGCAGCCACAACAGCAGCCCCTGGGGCAAGGCGCTGGCTCAGGGCCAGCCTCAGACGTCTGCCCCAGATGCTACCCTCCTGTTCCCTGCATGTGCACTCAGGGACCCAGCTTTCCTGCCTGACGGCTTCCATTCCGGGCCACCCCTCTGCTTTGATCCTCTGTCCCGATGCATGGGGACCCCAGATACCCATGCTCAGACCCCGCCCCACTGCACCCCTCTCCCAGCAGGAAGCCTGCTGGCTACCCACACCCCCCCAGAAAGAGACCTCCTTCACCAGGTCACAGGACTCTTGGCAACTGTGTCCTGGGTGGGGTGGCGAGGGACTTGGAGGCCCTTCAGCCTTACCTGGAGCATCTCCATCCTCAGTGCCTCCCCGTGGACTTTACCTGGTTTTATACCTGCAGGGGGTTTTATGCCTGTGGGGGCGGGCAGCAAGGCCACTGGGGGCGGTGGCATGGCGGGTAACCTGGACACTAATCTCCTCGGGGGCGAGGGACAAGGCCAGGGAGGTGCAGTGGTGGCTAAATGGAGGCCCCCCCCCCGTTCCCTGAGCGACTTGGCACCAAGAAGCAGGAGACACCCTAGATGACAGCTGACTCTGCAGACTCGGTCCTCGGGTGCTAAAGAGGGCGTGTTGGGGGCCCAGGAAAGGGGACAGGAAGCCCTGGGCTGTGCTAGCAGGTTGCATAGCCCTGTCTCTTCCTGTATGAGAGGGGGGTCCTGGGGGAGGCCGGAGTTCACAATCCTGGAATGCTGATCTCGGAAGCCTCCACCCTGCCCCACTGAAAGCCTGGGTCCAAGCTCACAGTGGGGCTCAGCTTCAGTATTGCATCCTGTGACCAGGAAGCGGATGGCCTGCACCCAGATATCCCCCATACAGGGATTCAGCGGGAGCACCCTGTCCCCCACACTCAGGCCCCCAGAAACCAGGATGCCAGGGCTGACCCAGCAAACAGCAGCAGTGTAGACCCCACATGGGGTTGTGCTGGACATGGCCCTTCCAACACTCGCACTGGAAGGCAGGCCAGAGGGCCCCTGGCCGGAAGGAACGTGTATGGCTTTGGAAACGGATCATAGCTCTCTCATCTCCTTTTGTGTGAGGCTTCTTGTCCCGTGTGACTGCTTCTTAACCTTTTCTCTTTGCACAAACACTGAGGGAATGTGCTTTAGAGTCACTCGCAAGGCACGTGCCCCGTTGTCGGGACTCCAGAAGGCCCGTCTCACTTCGTGGATCTGCTGTGGACAGTGTGCCCTGTAATATGTGTTAAAGGCTGTGTCTGCTCCACGCAGCCCTCCGTGTGGGTTTTCCGGTTTATCAGAAGGAGCGATCGAGATCCCCAGGCTCGACCTCCTGCATTACAATTGGCATAATCATCGGTAGGATTTGGATACCCCGAAAACTCCCTGCATGGAGTCGACTGTGGGTGACATCGTGCGGGGTGAGGGGATACCAGGAGGAATCCCGGGCTGGCCAGCAGATTCTCTGTGGTGTTTGACACATGGGGACCACCATGGAATGGGGGCAGTGAGGGGCACCCCTGAAACTCCTGACGCCTCCTACAAGCCTTGCAACATATGGGAGAGCAGTGCGCCCCCAGGGGGGAAAGGAAAGACCTTTGCCACGTAGCAGCCCCTGTGGGCTGGTTAATGTCCGCTGCGTTATGGAGGGTCACTGAGAGACAGAGAGAGGTGGAGGTGCATGATGTGCGTTCAGAAGAGGAAACTAGAAAAGGAACACGTGTCTCCTAACGGCGGACAGTAAAGACGTCCTAGGAAAACAATTAGAACAGGCACCAATTACAGGACCCAGCGCGCCACTTTGCCAGGGCACAGGGGCGACGACTGGCACCCACTCGTATATAGTGACTGTGTCTCAGTCTGACTGTAATCCTCAGAAGTGGGATCCTACAGCTGAATGAGAAAGTGATTCAGACTGAGAGATTTTTTTTAAAAGATTTGTTTACTTATTTTTAGAGAGAGGGGAAGGGAGGGAGAAAGAGGGAGAGAAACTCAGTATGTGGTTGCCTCTCGCGCACCCCCTACTGGGGACCTGACCCACAACCCAGGCATGTGCCCTGACTGGGGATCCAACCCGCTGCACCAGCCAGGACAGTCGGAGAGATCTTAATAGATGTGAGCAGGGAGGTTGTAGAGATAGAAGAAGAGAAATTTGTGGCTCGTCTGATTATGATTGAGAAGATGAAGACCCACAGCCACAGACGCCACATGGCGCTCCAGTGCCACCTCACATGCCACCTCTGTCCCAGCACAGGCCTCGCACTCTGCAGCCCGCTCCTACACCCCTGCGGAGCTAGTAGAGCTGGCTGCTGAGTTCAGACAGAAAGGGTCTGAATCCATCACGGGGTGGCTAGTGAGGCTGTGGGATAGAGGGGCTGGTGGCATTTTGCTTACAGGGGATAAATTGAAACACGTGTTCTCTGTCACCCCCCATCCCTCTTTGAGACAAAGGATTCTCAGGGTGGAGCCCAAGCCGACCACACAGCTGCTCTCCTCATGTGGCTAATGGCTGGCTGTAGGGCGGCATGGCCCGATGAGGGGGAATCTACCCTCTAACCCGCGCCAGGCCAGTTGACTAGAACTCCAGCAGTTCATCCAGGAGCGAGGCACTCAGCATGCTGTCTATAACCCGTGGTCCAAAGGGCCAGATATGGGAAGATTTCCCGCCGGATGAGGGACTGGGCTGTTGAAACAGCATCCCTGGCTTACTTTGGCACCTTGCTATCTATCTTGTCCACCAAAGTGGGTGAGGTTTTTTTTATTTTTAAGATTTTATTTATTTATTTTCTAAGAGAGGAGAGAGGGGAAGGGTGGGAGAAAGAGAGAGAGAAACATCAATGTGTGGTTGCTTCTTGAGTGTACCCCACTGGGGACCTGGCCTGCAACCCAGGCATGTGCCCTGACTGGGAATTGAACTGGCAACCCTTTGGTTCACAGGCCACACCACTGAGCCACCCCAGCCAGGGCCAAGGTGGGTGATTTTGTACAAGAAGTAGCACAGATATTGCCAACCCAGGGGAAGTCAAGCTACTGAGGCAAGAGAAAGGAAGAAGACAGAAGAGAAGGACCGAGGAAGGAAAACAGAGAACCCAACTGACATGTGAGCAAGAAGGGCCAGTGAAAGGGATGCACAAACAACTGTGCAGTGACCTGGGACTGGCCAGGTAGACAAAGACAGACAGACAAGAAGCCTACCCGAGTTCCTGTAAGTCCGTGGCAGCAACTGAAACCTGAGCAAACATTCCAGCCCCATCATGACACCCGCTGTCCGAACGTTGGACTGGACGCTGTCGACTGGAGCGGTCGCACCGGTGCCCCCAGGGCCGACGCCCTGCTCGGCTGACTTCACGGCTGCCTCCCTGGTGGAGCTGCCTCCAGCCCGTCCAGAGGGCACTCCGTGGGGAAGGGTCTTTGTGTAGGGGGATGTCCGGGGGACCCAGTGGGGACCAGAGGCCACGTGTGGAATTTGCCATTCCCTGGTCCCCAAAGAATGCACAGAGTGCTGGCTTTAGCTGATACTGGTGCAGAGTGTGCTCTCATGTATGATTACCCAGAGAGATTTAGGGGACCCACAACTGCCATTGATGGCTACAGAGGACAGTCCATTCGGGTGCAGGCTGTGACACTGACTCTTGGAATAGGGTGTTCACCACCACACCCCTACAAGGTGGACGTCTCCCCTATCCCCGAGTATGTTGGAGGAATTGGTATTTAGCGGGCATGCGCCTACAGACCACTGTAGGGGGAGTTTTGCCTCCAAATAAGGGTTACAAAGGACGTTTTGAGGGGGGTGCCAGACACTCCCCCGTGTCACTTCCCACTCCCCGTAGAATAGTGGCCACCAAACAATGCTGCCTTAGGAGACTGGGGAGACCACAGAAGAACTGGCTAAGGTGAACGTCATCACACCGGCTCATAGCCCTGAAAACTCACCTGTGGGCCTACCCAAAGGTGGGGGGTGGGGGTGAGCTTGGTGCATGCCTGCAGATTAGAGAGAACTAAATAAGGTGACCCTCCCTCTCTTTGCAGCCATGCCTAACGCTGCCAGCCTCCTGGACCAGCTCAGCCACTAGCTGGGTACGTACCGTTATGTATTAGGTTGAGCTAATGCCTTTTCCTCTACTGATATTGATCCCGAAAGCCAGGGCCAGTGTGCCTTCACCTGGGAAGGCCGCCAGTGGATATTTAGTGTCCTGCCTCAAGGTTATCTGCATGGCCCAACTGTTTGCTGCAGCCTCATGGCTGAAGACTCAGCTGCACGGGCTGTACCATCTTCTGTGAGATTGTGCCATAACTTTGACGATATTGTGCTGACCTCTGATTCTCTCTGAGTTAGAACACGCCGCTCTGCAGCTGTGGGCCCACCCGCAGGGTCGAGGATGGGCGGTCAATTTCAACAAAAGCCAGGGACCTGGATTGTCTGTCAAATTCCTGGTTATCATTTGGTCAGGAAAAACAAAGGTGATGCCTGCTATTTTGGTAGATGAGATTCAGCTGTGGCTGGTGTGGCTCAGTGGATTGAATGCCAGCCTACTAACCAAAGGGTCACTGGTTCGATTTCCAGTCACAGCACATGCCTGGATTGTGGGCCAGGTCCCCAGTAGGGGCCGTGTGAGTGCCAACCACACACTGATGTTTTTCTCCCTCTCTTTCTCCCTCCCTTTCCCTCTGTCTAAAAATAAATAAAATGTTAAAAAAAAATTCAGCCTTTTCCTATCCCACAGAACCTGAAGCAATTATAGGAATTTCAGGTACTGGCGGGCTTTCGTAATACACTAAGCTCAGCTAGTGCACCCCCTTTCCCGCCTTGTCCACAGAGTAGCCACTGGGATTGGGGGGAAGAGCATGACCAGGGCTTTGAGGCTGCTAAGCAAGTGGTGACGACCGTACAAGCACTGGGGGTCACACATTAACCTCGGGCATGTGATCTGGACGTCCATGTTACCCCTGGAATCTATTCCTGGGCCTCTGGCAACAACAGCAAGGGTGCACCAAGGCCCCCCTGGCTTCTGGTCCCAGCTCTGAGAGGGGGTGGAGGCCCGATACGGCCCATTAGAACAAGTGAACACTGTTTACCAGGCTCTCCTGGCCTCGGAGGCCACTCCCAGACTGGCTGAGGCTCGAGCCCATACTACCTATCCCATCGCTGGTGGAGACAGGACTTGGCAAACCGGCCCACGAGCTCAGCAGCACGGACGGCCCCTCTGACCAAGCAGAGTGCACATCTCCCGCAGAAAAACAAACGAGCCATGAGCCCTCTCAGCCAGGAATCGCAGCAGCTCCTGGGCCCGGTTACTTACCAAGACATGGGCACAGAGGTCACGCTCTTCTTCCCGCTCCTGGGCCTACTATTAACGAGGGACAAGCCCCTGTGCCTGAGGATGCCCAGTACACTGGTGGCTCCTGCCAGGGCCAGCCGCCCACCTGGAGGGTGGAGGCCTACCAGCCCAGCACGGATGGTGTGTGTATGGAAGGTGGCTCCAGACAAAGTAGCCAATGGGCTGAATTGAGAGCCTTCTGGAGAGTCAGAGCCCGAGAACCTGGGCCGGTGACCATGCACACAGACAGCTGGGCGGTGTACACAGGACTGACCCCGCTGGCAGCGAGACAATTGGCAAGTGGCTGGAAAACCCCTGTGGGGGCAGGGCCTATGGGAGGACATCTATGAACGTAGTCTGGAAATGGTGATAACGCTTTACCAAGGTGACAGACGTCAGCCTTTCCGCAGCCCAGACAATGCCCAGCCAATGACCTGGCACGCCCCCGCTGTTGGAAGAGGCTCCAGTAAAGACATGGCCAAGTGCCTCCATGAAAGATGCGCCGTGCAAGACAGGAGACTTTATGGGAAGGGCTGGAGGCTTGGGGTCTGCTGCTCTGTCACTCTGATCTGTGCAGAGGAGCACCCTCATTGCTGCCCCTTCAAGATACGGGTGGCCTGTGACAGGGGAACACCCCGCTGACCCACTGGCAGGTGGACCCCTGCCACCACACGAGGCTCACGCTGTGCCCTGGCATGTGTGGATGTGACTCCTGGCCTGCTGCAAGCAGACCTGTGCAAGCGGGCCACCCAAGGCCTAATGTAGCTCTGTGCCACCTATGGGACCCCGGATATCATAGAGAGCAACCAAGGCACCCATCTCATGGGACATCGGGTACAGGAAAAGGCTGGCACCCTCAGTAGAGATTGTAGGGCCCCTCTGCCATCAGCCCCCTCCCGCCTCACTGAAAGGTACAGCGGCCTCCTGAAAGAGGCAGGCTGGCTGGAGAGCCCCTGGCCAGAAGGAATGTGTGTGGCTTTGGAAATGGACTGTAATCCCCTCCTTATCTGCTTTTGGGAGAGGCTTCTTGCCCCGTGTGACTGCTTCTTGACCCTTTCTCTCAGAGAGTACACACTGAGGGAATGTAGTTTAGAGAGTCACGTGCAAGGCACAGGCCCCCTTTGTCTGGGACCCCTTCAAAAACGTCTTGGACTCAGGGACGCGTGGTCCTGCCATCTGCCGCCACTGGTGCTCCCTGTACTGTGAGCAATAAAGGCTACATCTGCGCCATCCAATCCTCCCTAGGGTTTTTTTGATTTATCTGATGTAGCGGTCGAGCTCCTGGGCCTCGACCTGCTGCTTACACTGTCATTGACAAAGATAAGCTCAGCCCCATCTGCCACCAAGGGCACGTCCCACCCGCTGACCACTCGCCCACCACCGCCTCTATAATCCTGTGTAGCTCGCCCCGCCCACCGCCCAGTGGGTGTGCCCCAAGCCCTGTCCAGTCCCACTTGGTGGGCGGGGTTCCCAAGCTCAGTCCCGCCTGCTGTGTGCTCAGATGCTGTCTTCCAGGCTAGGCTCAGACTCCGCCCGAGGGAGCTGTCTGCGGGCGGGGCTGGTGCAGGCGCTCAGACAAGCGCGGGCTTCAAACTGCCGTAGTTGGAGTACTCGGTGCGGTAGGCTTGCGGCACACTGTAGATGCCGGGCACAGGCTTCCAGTGGGGGCCGCCCCAGGGAAGCTCCAGAGGGCAGAAGCGATCAAGCGGGCGGATCGGGTGCAGTGGGGCGCTGTAGGATTCCTGAACGAGAGGTAGCGCCCCGCGGTGCGGCACAGCAGGCGTCACCGGGCGGGCACGGGGCACACGGATCCTAGAGGAGGGCGGACAGAGCGGCTGCTGCGGGCCGTGGCCCCACGCCTTGGGAGTCTCCTCGAAGTTCCAGTAGTTCAGCGAGCCCTTGCCGGGGTATCCAAGCAACTCCTTCCTGTTGGGGGAGGCAGGGTGGGGAGAGCACAGCTGAACCCTCTGGAGCCGGCTGACGATTCAGACCTTGGGGCCTGAGGACGCATCAGAACGGAACCCTTCTGCGTTGTGAGGAGTCGGGGGGCCTCCTCACACTTAGAAAGAATGGGGCTGGGGACTCCTAGCCTGGATTCCCGGGCGCTCGAGGTACGTTAGCGCCGGAATCTGGGTTTTTCGCAACTTTGGGATGGAGTATCCAGGGACTCGAATGCCAAAGGAGCCCCGCCCCACTCCGCCAAGGCCCTGCTCCTAGATCCAGAACTGGCTCTTGGGCCCTCCGCAGGCTTCGTCGTCCTGAGGCTTGACGCTTAAGAATACCTGGGCGCTAAAAAAAGGCAGGGTCTGGGGTCCAACCTTCTGGTTCTAAGTCAGAGAAGGGGAGCTGACACCAGGGGCCTAGGCGTTCCACCAGCTTCCGCGGGGCTGGGCAGGGGTTATTGCGGATGGAGACCAGGCTCACTTCGAGTAGGCCCGGAAGTCCCGGGCCGAGGTGGACAGATAGAACTGGTGGCGGTCCAGGATGCTCTGGTCGGGTCCTGTGAAAGGCTGGCCGACTAGCTTGGAGTTCTTCATCCAGGGGAGCAGAGCCTGAGGGGGGTCGGCAGGAGGAATGCCCCAAAGAGATTTCATATCCCTCTCGAAGCCTTGGGTCCCAGACTGAGAACTCCTCTTCCTTCAGACTTAACAGCCTTTCTGGACCCGGCCTTCACACCCGCCCCCAGAATCAGAAGCCTTCCTGACCAAATGATGCCAGTGCACGTTCGCTTTGCTCCCCAAATCAGAACCCTTACTAGGGTCACTCTGATCCTGAACACTTTCTGCCTGTCATAGAAAAGAAAGCCAAGCCCTCCAGACTTACACTTCCCTTGTCCTGACGCTGGAATTGAGCCACACCTAGGCTGACAAGTCCTAGCTTCATCCCTTACCAGAAAGCCTAGCCCGCCTCTGGCTCCCCCAGAATATCCAAGGCCAGTGTTCTGCCTGCATCCGCCCCAGTCTCAGAAACCGCCTCAGCATTTGTTAGTTGCGCCCCCTAGCCTCACAGCTGGATTTCGGGTCTTCAGTCCCCGTCTCCAAATGGGGAAGCCCCTTCTCCTTATTCCTTACTCTCCTAATTCCACCCCAGAGCCTATAGCCACGCCTCCAGGCTAAAAATTCCTTCTCACCCCGCCCCAGCTTCTCAGGCTGGTCCCTAGCGTATACTTCGACCCTTCTGACCCGCCCCAGGAGCTCCAAGCTCTGTCTGCCCGCGCCCGCGTGGTCTTCTCCGCTACCTGAGAAGGGCCCCCGCAGTGGTGGTCCGCAGGCGCCGGGGGCTGGGGCGCGACGTAGCCGGTAGCGCTCCGGTCCAGGTCGGGCCAGCTGGAGTACTGCGCCCTCGCCTCGCTGCACTGGCGCTTTGTGATCTGAGGGAGGCGCCAGCTGTGGTGTCTGAGCTGCGGAAAGGCGATGCGGGCACCCAACGTGGAGGTTCCCGGGACGGAACTGCGGTCCTCGGCCCTGTCCCCTCCGCGGACCTGGGCATCCCAGAACCTCACCTTTTCCCCTAAATCCTTGATCCCTATAATCCGCATGGGGTCCGCAGGTTCTGGGGCCCTGGGCTGCGCATAGGGCCCGCCGTAGGTCTTGGGCACAAAAGCCGAGCCAGAAGTCGTCTCCCATCTGTTGATGACCTCGTCGAAAGCCCCGATGTGCAAACCCTGCTTTGCGGCTGGGGGCAAGGGCTCCGCCTCCACGGACTGGGCAGAAGGCGCGGGACGTCAGCTACAAAAACTCAGGCGCCTGGCCCACCAGCCTTGACCTCCCTGCGTGGGTCCCCAGCCCTTCCCGCTCTCCCGTTCCAGGCATCCAGGTTCTCTGGCCTTTCCTCGACGGACCCAGAACTCGGAGACGCTCCTACTTCAGTTAGGAGTCCAAGCCACCGATCCCCCTTTCTTTCAGCAAGGTGTCTGGACCTTTGGGCCCCTCCTCCTTCAGACACAGGAGTCTGGACTCCCAGGCTCCTCTTGGTGAGGAACCTAGGGGTCCTCTCACCTGGAAGGTAGGCGGAGGGAAGGGCGCGGGTGGGATAATATGGTGGGCCACGCCACTGCTGGTGAGATGCCACTTGGGCCAGCATCCAGGCAGCTCCGTCCCGGAGATGGGGGGCCAGGGAGGGCCACAGCGCAGAGCTAGGGTCTGGCTGGCCATGATCCCTCCTCCTCCCCGTAGCCAAGCAGGAGGTTTGTTGCTGCTGTTGCCCTAGGTGACAGAACCCGCCCTGGCTGAATCCAGCCAATGGAGGGCCTGCCGGCGGGTGGGTGGGTACTGTGAGAAAAAGTCCCCGGCACCTAGGGACAGGGACTTGGACAAAGGGGGCAGAGACCCCAAAAGGACCACAGAAACTTAGAGAAGTTGCGGGGGGGCACCCAGACAGAAGGGCAGACACGGGAAACAAGGGAAGGGGAATCAAAAGTCCAATTTTAGAGTTTTAGAGACACCCCTGGGGCGGGGGGGGGGGGGAACCAAAGAGGGCACAGCAGAGAGGGAGAGAGAAACCAGAGCGGGAGTGGTCAAAGATCTAGGGAGCAGGGAACAGTCCGGGCAGAGACCCAGAGGGAGAGGCGGGTAGAGACCACCAAGCACATCAGGAAATCCGTGAGAAACACTCTCAGCCCCCATTCCTGTAGGGTCCAGGCCCTCCCAGCATTCCGCTCCCTCAGCCAGGCCTGTCCACCTGAGGCTAACGATTTCCCGCGGGCTGTCCCTCCCCCCCCTACGTGTGCAGCGTCAGCGTCAGTGTCCGCTTTGTCTGCCCTGCTGCCTTTGATTTGGCTGAAAACTTCCACCTGGACACAGGGGCGGGCAGAGCGGGAGAAATACCCAGGGAAGGACTAAGCCACAAAGCCGGTGGTGGGGGTGCGGAAAAAGCTTTGACGAATGAGAAGAAATACAAGAATGGGTGAGAGACAGTGACTAAGAAACAGAGACAGAAAAAGAGCTACTGTCCCAGAGACAAGAGATGGGGAAGTGGCAAAAGAAAGAGAGAGCAGAACTGCAGACTTGGGACAGAGATGCAGCCTCAGAGGCCGCCTCACCCTTCTCCCCAGGGGCCCAGTCTGTGATGGTGCCAGATCTCTATGCCCTCAGCCCGGAGCTGGCTCTCTAATAAAGCCTGTGTGTTGGTAACAGGTGTGAAGCTGTGGAGTGGGAATATGTGATGGGGTGCCCTGAGGATGGGGGATCTGCCCCTGACTTCTCTGGTCACTGCCTCACTTTAAAGACCTTTTGGCTGAGGCCCCTGGCTCCTTGGCCCCACTAACTCATCCTGCCGACCCATTCTGTAGACAGGAAACACTGAGACTGCCTTCTGGCCCCCTCATTCAGGTTTCTAGGGTCCCCTCTCCTGTTGGGTTGTTCTGGCCTATCAGTGTCCAAATGACCCCTGATCCTCTCCAGGGGCCAGGCCAATGGGTCAGAACCTCATGCCCTCCTCAAGCTGGACAATGTTAATGTTTATTTCTTTCCCAATGTGGGGTAAAGGTCGAGACAGGGAAGGGTGGTGGAAACCTGACTCTAAGTCCCCACTCGGGCCAAATTCTCTAGCATCCTGACCTTCTATCTTGCGTACCTACTGTGACAGGTAGGTCATATCACAAAACAGAACATTCTTGCCCCATCTGACCTAGTTAACTTCCCATTCGAATCCTAGCTTCCAGCCAGTTGCTCACACGTTCCAGTTTTTATGCTCCCCAACTGACTCCTTGGCACAGTCCCTCCCTGTCACTCTCTCCAGGATGGGCGAGGTGATGTCCCCTGAGATCACATAGTTAGCAACTTAGAAGCTACAGGCCTCCAGGGTCAAGTCCGCCAAGCTGATGTGACAAGTCGTGTATTAGAGCTGACAAACAGCAGGCAGTCAGAAAACACGGGCTGTCATCATCATCATCACCCTTGGGTTCACAGGAGGACTCCTATTCATCCTTCAAAACCCCATTTGGTTTTGTCTCGTACAAATTGTACAGATTGAGCTCTCAAAATACGAGAGCTATGATTTTTGTGACCATTGAACAAGTTCCCAAAACAAGGCCCAGAGCAGCCAAGTCACGCCTGAGGTCCCTTGGCAGCCTGCTCTCTTTCTTCCTCTGCGGGTCCAGTTCCTAGGCACGGGCCTCAGGCCCGGCCAGTCCGGCTGAGAAGTGTGCAGACACAGGCGGTGTCGATTCGGATCCATCGCCAGCCCACACGGCCCTGAGCATCGGTGGTCAACGCCCGAACATAGGACTGCTTGGCCTTACACTCGGACACCCAGTGCCTCCGGTCCACGCCCCGGCAGCCCCCTCCGCCTGCACCGGGGCCACCTTCCCCTGTGTTGTCAGCCTTGCAGCGGGTCTCAAAGAAATACTGGCGGAGGGGACTGCCACCAGCCGCAGGCACCTCGCCCAGCACCTCCACCTCGCGCCCACGCAGGTCCACAGCCGTCCGGCGGTCTGTCACCCAGCTGCTGACCGCATCGCACACAGCCAGCTCTCCCCGGCGACTCGCGGGTGCTGTCTCGCTCACCCCTCGCCGAGTGCGGTTAGCAGGGCTGCCTGGGGGCTCCCCGAAGGCCCCAGCCTCCAGCAGGAAGAGCAGAGGGGGGCCCGAGGGGGCACCCCTGGACAGTACTACTCGGGGGGACAGGAGGTCCCACTCAGGGGCTGGAAATGCGGGCAGTGGCGAGGGCGGGGGGTGGGGTTCCACTGGGACACAGGGGAGGAGGCTGAGGAGGAGGATGGGGAGGGACCATGAGGGGTGGGGGAGCATCTCGCTGAACACCTGAGGGGGAGAGGAAAGCTGGAGTTAGAGAAGAGGCTAACAACTGGGGGGGGCCCTGCATGGCAGAACCACAGGGGGGCCTTTGTTCTAGAACCTCGGGGGACCCTGTGTCCTAGGATTGGATAATGCCCACCTTCCAGATTCTTCTACTCCTATTACTACTAATAATTATAATTATTCTACTACTGTTACTAATAATAGCCAGCAATTGGGGAAATACAGGCTCAGAGAGGTTAGCAACTTGTACCAGGTCACACAGCCAGCGAATGCCAGAACCGGGACCCCGGTCTGAGCAACTGCACTCTGCCACACTGCCTCCGCAACCCCAAGGGACCCTAAGTCCCACAGCCTGGAGGAGGTCTGAGGTCCCGAAACTCTGAGAAAGGCCAGTCCTGGAATTCTAGGGTGACCCAACTTCAGCTCCAGTCACAAGGCAAGACAAGTCAGGCAGGGCCTCGGTTTCCCTGGCTGTGACAGTGACCTGGGGCTGGGAGATGCAGGCGGAGGTGTGGGGATACTGCATGTTCTTTACAACATTCTGGAAGCCTGTGGTTCTGGGAAAGGGTGGTTACCGGACCTGTCAGCACCTACTCCACCTCCGAGCTTCCGGGCTGGGGGCCCCCAGGCTCCAGGGGGCCCCTGGGGGGGACACAGGCGGCCCCCTCCTTCCTGACATCTCAGTAGAGGGAGGGGGCAACTACCTAGGGGAAGAAGGGAAGCGGCAGGTTATACAGGCAGGTTGGGGGAAGGGGCCTGAACTCCTGACGCTCCCCTTCCAGGGTTCCTTTTAAAGTGTAGGGTACCCGAGAGTCGAGGCCACGCCCCCTTTCCAGAGGCCTCCTTCCCTGCCCAGGTGATGGCTCCTGGCTGCGATGGAAAGCAGATGGGGGAGGAGAGGGGAGGGGCGAGGCTGGAAAAGATTACATCCTCCTCGGCCCATTCATCTCTCAGACAGGGTGGGGGTGGGGCTGGGCTGGACACCCGGGTACCTGAGGGCCCACACTCAAGAAGCCCTGGGTCCCCGAGGCTGCTTCCTGGAATGTTTTCCCCACACGGGACAGGCCAGGGCCCGTCCAAGACTCCTGCTGCGCATACCTGGAGAGGCTGCCTGCCCTGGCTGGGAGATGAGGAGTGGGAAGGTGGGGTGTGAAGAGGGGCGCGCGCGGGACCAGGAGTGTAGGTCCCCAGCTGCCTCTTCCCTCAGACCCGGAGTCCTGGGTCTCGGCTGCCTGGTCCCTTGGTGGCTAGACCCCCCCGGCCCCTCCCTCAGCACCAGGAGTCCAGGCCCCCGAATCCCTCCTCCCTCAGACCCAGGAGTTCTGGAGTTCAGGTCCCCTCCTCCCCAGGCACTCAGAAACACGGACTCGCAAAAGATTCGGGCTGACGGTCCGGACCCTTGAGACCCCTTTGGGGGAACCCGCCGCTGTTCTGAGATGTTTCTCTCCTGCCTCAGTTTCCTCCGCCAAGCCCCGCCCCTGAAGGCCCCGCCCACGTCCCTCCCTACCCGGGGGCAGGGCGACCCGGACGCCGGAATCCCGCAGGAGGAGGCGCCGAGGCTCTTACCTGGGGCGCCCTCCTCGGCTCCCTCGGCTGCCCCTGGCGCGGCGGCACCTCCTCCTCCTGCTCGTCGGCTGCAGGGACGCGCGCTCGCCCGCCGGCTCCTCGCTGCACACGCTCCGGAGGGCCCGGGTCGGGGGCGGGGGCGGGGCGGCGCCGGACGGCGGAGGAGGGGCCGGGGGATCCCGCCTTCTACACGCGGGCCGGGACCTGGGAAGCCCGGCCTGGCTCGCTCAGCCCTCCGCCCGCCTCGGTCTCAGGAGTCCAGGCCCCCGGTCCCTCCTCCCTCTGATCCGGGAGTGGAGACCCCCCAGCGTCTCCTCCCTCAGACCCAGGAATCCAGGCCCCTAGTCCCCTCCTCCCTCGGACCGGGGAGTGGGAACCCCCATTCCCCCTCCTCCCTCAGACCCAGGAATCCGAGCGCCCAGCCCCTCCTCTCTCGGACCCGTGAATCTGGGCTTGGGATTCCTTTGCATTCTCTTGCCAGTGAAGTGTCAATCCCCAGGCAGATTCCCACCCTCTGCTCTCATCCTCTTTCCCAGGAGCTCAGGGCCAGACATTAACCAGCTGGGCTTGGGCAGTGATAAGGCCCCAGGCCGGGGAGACAGTGAATGCGGGGGCTCTCCCACGAGGGCTTCTCTCCTGGAATTTCCTGGGTGGGGTCTGGGGAGAGGATCTTGTCCTGAGCTCAGATAAGAGAACGTCAAGGTATTGTAGGACTCGGAGATGGATATGGTTTGGGGACAGAATGGCCTTAGAGAAAGAAAGTCAGTAGTGACAGATGAAGGGAGGCGGGTGAAAGGCACAGAAACGGGGAGGAAAAAGGGACAGAGTCCAAGGGAAACAGGGGGACAGAAAGTCAGAGAGAGAGAAGACACAGACCCAAAGAGAGGAGACAGACACCTGGAGAGATGGGGCCAGAGCCCAGAAGGGGGACAGAGCCCCAGAAAGACAGTCAGAGACCCTAGACAGTGACATGGGAGCTGGAGTCTGGGACAGTCCTGTCTCAGGGCCCTCCCCCGAGTTATTTTCAGGAGGGAAGTTGACACTTGCCTTCTGGGGGGAGGACATCCCATACCCCTCCCTCCTAAATATAGCATGGCAAGGGGGCAGGAAGGGTGTCCCCGATGAGGGTGTTCCCCTCTCCTCTGCCCCATCACAGCCAAGGCAACACAGAATGCAGACACAGTTGTTTCTTGGGGCGGGGGAGGGGCACTTCCCAGGCCTCCAGTGTCCAGTGGAGTCATCTCCCTGACCTCTCCACACTCCTCCCCCTCCCCATCCCCTAGCACCCAGCACAGCCTGCTCCTGCCAGAGGCAGCCTGTGCAACTCCCCGGCTCCAGTCGGATGGCCCGGGAGAGGAAGCAGAGAAGAGTCACTGGGCAGCAGTTTCTGTCCCCCTCTCCCTGGGTCTCTGTACCCCCACCCCCATCTGTGCTCCCCCCTCTGGATCTCTGACACCTCCGCTCTGGCTCTCCCCGCCATCCTGTGGGTCTTCATCCTCCCTCTGGGTCTCTGAGCCCCTCCCAGTCCGCTGCCCTCCTCTCGCCTGCCCCCCCCCATCCCCATGGGTGTCTCTCTTTGCCGCTGTCCCACGTCCTCTCCATGGGCCTCGGCTCCTCTCCACCTGTGTCTCCTCCTCTTCAGGCCTCTTTGTGCGGCGCTCTGTGCCTGCCTTTACGCCTCTGCCTGGGTCTGCCACCCCTGGGGGGCCTGTCTCCGTTCCTGTCTCCAGGTGTGCCTTTCTCTCCGTTTCCGAGCAAAGTGACCACCTAAAGGTTATGTGATTTCCGACCTTTATCGAACTCTTCCCGCAGTCAGTGCCTTCTTCTATCTCTCTGCGTGAAGAAGTAGTTGGGTTAAGTCAGGGGTGCCACACAGAGCGTCTCGCCACATTCTGAGTCACCTGTTCCCTTCTGATGGGTCAGCCTGGTGCCTCTCTAAGTAAGATTTCATTTGATCAAAAAAGAAGGGGGGGTTGTTATCGCTAAAAATAACAACAACCACACTGTGTAAACCACTGGGGTTTTAATAAATTAATACGAGTAAAGTATTTGAATGACGCCTGGCACACAGGAAGCCCTGTATGTGTTAGCGATTTCCCCCTCTCCCTCCTCCAAATGCCCTCTGTACTGAAAGACCCCACCCAATATTTGGCTTCGTGACCTTGGGTGATGCCCTCCCCTCTGAGCCTCGGTTTCCTTGTCTGTGGGGCTGTTTGGACTCAGGAGGTCTTGTGCATGCCGACAGGAGGACAAGACACGTGGGGCCAGGCAGACGGCCATGAGCCCTGGTCCCTGGTGACAGTGACGGGCTGCCTGACCTTGGAAAGCTGCTCTCATGCTCTTAAGACTCAGGTTTCGCCCCGGTTCGTCTGACAGCGTTCCCGGGCCTCGGGAAGACGGGGCGGCATGCCCCAGTTTGGGATTCTGTGGAATGGAGACTGCGTCTCTCTCTGGCTCAGCGGCACTGACTTGTTCCGCCGTTTTCTCCTCTGGTTTTTTCTCTCCGGCACTCTGGTCTGCCTCCAGCTCTGGGTGCGCGCGTGCTCGCGCACTCGCGCGCGCGCTCTCTCTCTCTCTCTCTCTGTGCCTGACACCCCACTCTGGGTCTCCATGCCCCGCTCTTGGTCTCTGTCTCCCTCTCTATTTGGGTTTCTGCCCCCTTCCCTCTGGATCTTTGTCTCATCCTTTCTGAGTCTCTGCTCCTCACTCTGTGTGTCTTTCTTCCCTCTACTTTGGGCTTTTTTTCTCTTCTCTGAGTCTCTGTCCTTCCCCAGGTCTCTGTCCCCTGCCCCCCCCCACCCCCCCGCCATGTCTGGACAAAGTGCAGACACTGTCCCCCTCCCTCCACCTTCCCTGGTGGCTCTGACGTCCATGTCTGGAAGCAAAACTGTAGGCAAGGACAGAGAGCAAGAAGGTTTTCATGGCAAAATAAAGCAGGTGTGCAGTAAGCAGAAGGTTTGGTTGTCTCCCATAGCCCTTTCGCTCCCTGATACACGACTCCTCCCCAGTGCCGATGCCCCTGGGTGCTGGTGCTGCCACTTCATCCAGAACAAACCCACATGGCCCCGGGGAGTTCACACATACAGGCCAACTCCACCCAACGTTCCTACCAGACCCACGATGGCAAATTCAGCGCAGCTCACCTTGGCCTGGCCCTACGAACTGGCCCCGTGAGACCCCCACGGTCCTACAACTCCATACGGCTCAGGTCCGTGTAGCCCTGGAAGCATCCAGCCACACAACACTGCACAGTTCAACTCAACAGCACCCTGTGAGATTCCTGTGGTCAGGCCTTCCCACCCAACTGACGCTGATGTGACCTAGAAAGCTCACATTCTATCCCTTTGCCTCTGTGTATTCCTACATGACTCACAAGTTCACAGAACCTAAAATAACACAGCCCCAGAAGAATCACAAAGCCACACACTTTCCAACATGCCTCAACTCCGCAACACCATGCGCAAGCACGCAATCAGTCAGTCCCAACAATGCTCTGGGTGGCCACCTCACTGAACCCACCATGGCCCTAGGGGACTTGTAAAACCCACAGAATCCTGCGTGAGGCAGTCAGACAAGACTCACTTAGACTCACAACCCAGCCTGACCTGACCCAACCCAGCCTGACGGAGAACAAAGAAACTCACAAAACTACGTGACCGGCTCTATTTCAATGCTACCCCAAAGGTTCCACAGCCTTGCGAAAACCAACGCAAAAGAAACTGATGTAGCTTCTCCCTCAGCTCAGCATAACCACTGCCATTCGCTGCCACCTAAGGAGGGACCTACAGAGGTACCAAACCGCAACTCAGGACCCAATAAAAAGACTCAGCGTTCCTCAGCTCATTGCCACTTAACCTAGTTCTTCCTAAACCCAACCCCCTTCCCCTCCACCCTTCCCTGCCTCCCCCCTCACCCCTCCCTCCACAGAAATGTGAGGTCCTGCTGGCCTCAACTTGCCCTCACACTGCAGTGACCATGTGTTTTCCCGGGGGCGGCCAGAGTGGAGGTGCTAGCTCGGGCACCTCTCCATCCACCAATCCCCCGTTGACCTTGCCCTCCAGGGGGCCACAGGGCTGCGTGTCCACGTGGCTGTACATCCCGGCCTCTTCACCCTCTGTCTCTCGGTGGTAAAAGTAGCTGAAGTTGGAGACAATGACCGGCACGGGCAGGGAAATGGTCAGCACACCAGCAATAGCGCACAGAGAGCCCACGATCTTGCCGCCCACGGTGACCGGCGCCATGTCCCCATAGCCGACAGTGGTCATGGTGACCACCGCCCACCAGAAGGACTCAGGGATGCTGGTGAAATAGGAGTCTTCCCGGTCGACCTCAGCGAAGTAGACGGCGCTGGAGAAGAGGACCACGCCGATGAAGAGGAAGAAGATGAGGAGGCCCAACTCGCGCATGGAGGCCCGCAGCGTCTGGCCCAGGATCTGCAGGCCCTTGGAGTGCCGTGACAGCTTGAAGATGCGGAAGACGCGCACCAGCCGGATGACTCGCAGGATGGCCAAGGACATGGCGGGCTGACCCACGCCCCGCTGCCGGGCCAGCTCGGTGCCCAGAGCCACAAAGTAGGGCAAGATGGCCACGAAATCAATGAGGTTCATCACGTTCTTGAAGAAGACTGTCTTGCTCGGGCAAACCAACAGACGCACCAGCAGCTCGAAGGAGAACCAGCAGATGCACAGTGTCTCCACCACAAAAAAAGGGTCGTCGAAGGGCATGCGAGCTGGGGGTCCAGGTGCAGGGCTGGAGCCATTCAGCCGACTGGGGAGCTGCAAGAAGGAAGGGCTTCAGGGAGGACCAAGCCAGGGCTGGGGCACCCTGGAACGGCCGTGATCATTGTTGAAATATGCAACTATTGCTCTACAAATTGGCCAATAGCTGCTGTTCCCAAGGCCACCAGGGACCCAGCTGTCACAGACTCTTTCCCAGGACCCCAGGGAGGGCTGATTCTGTGGTCCCTCATTCTTCACTGGTGGGGCCTCCTGAAATGATGTCTCAGTGAGGTTCAACCTCATCCATTCCAAAGCCTTCCCCCTGCATCGGTTTTCGAGGCAGGGAGGGTCTCTAATGTGGCCCCACTGGCTTGTGCCCTGCCCTCCCAAACCAAGCCGAGCCCAGACTGTAATAGTTAAAGACCTTTCTGCCTGCCAAACCCTGGGGCCCCTCCTCTCACAGCTCCCAGCCCAATTTTCTTTAGGATGGATTCCTCCTACCCTGGCCCTCAGGACCCACCACTATCTCCAACTACCTCAGCCGTTTTCTCCAGGCCCGACTCTCACCACCTCCGGGCCATCCTTCCCGCACAGACCCCACATTTTGCAGGCTCTCCTCCCATCCCCAGCTTTGATTTCTTAAGGTACCTGTATCCCTTTCCTGCCTTGCTCAAGCCAGGTTCCTCACCTAGCTTAATCCTGCCTTCTGATAGGGCAGGTCCTTCTATTCAGACCCTCAGGCCCCGCCCCCTTAAATCATACCTTCAGCGCCCCCATATTTTGATGGTGGAGTCCCTGACAGGCCCTGTCCCTGGGTCAGTTGCTCATTCCTCAAAGCCCCTTGTCTCACCTTTGAATGGTCGGGTCCTCCCACCAGACCCCAATGCCCCGCCCACTCAACCAGACCCTACCTTCCTGATAGGTCCCGCCTCCCACGGGCCCTTAATCTGATTTTGATTGGCCAGACCCCCATGCTCTCCGCCCATTTCCTCTCAAACCCCGCCTCCCTCCGCTGAGGCCCCGCCTTTCCCCCCTGAGGCCTCGCCTCCTCACCGGTCCCGCAGCAGCCACCGCGGCTAGCGGCTTGTCGCGGTCGTCGCGGAAATCCGGCAGCGTCTCGAGACAGAAGACGACAATAGAGACGAGGATGACGAGCACAGAGACGACGGCGAGCACGCGCGCGGCCTGCGAGCTCTCGGGGAACTCGAAGAGCAGCCAGAGCTGGCGAGCGAAGGCGCGGCTGGGCAGGGGCCGCTCCGGCGGCACCGGGCAGCCCTCGTCCTCGCGCAGGCGCGCCAGCGCCGCCGCGCCCAGCCCGTAGAAGGCCACCTCCTCCAGGAAGACGTCGAGCGGCACGTGCGCCGGCCGCCGAAGCCGGCCGCCGGACTGGTAGTAGTAGAGCACGGCGTCGAAGCTGGGCCGGTGCCGGTCGAAGAAGTATTCGCGGCGCGCGCCGTCGTAGAAGCGGCTGCGGCGCGCCGGGTCCCCGAGCAGCGTGTCTGGGAAGCGGCTCAGGGTGCGCGCCCGCGTCTCGAACCGCAACCCGGCCACGTTGAGGACCAGCCGCTCGCAGCAGCCGCAGGGCGGCGGGCACCGCGGCTCCATGGCGCGCGCAGCCCCGGCGACCCGCGGACGGACGTGTGGCCCCGACGCCCGACCCGGCCCGGCCCCACCTCGGCCGCCGCCGCCGCCGCCCCAGGCTGGTGTCCGATGTCCACGCGTAAAAATAGCCCGGCCCTCCGGCCAGGGCGCGGGGGAGGGGGCTCCGTGACCCCGGCGGGGCAGAGGGCAGCCGCGCGCCCTCTGCCGGGGCGCCCGCCTTTCCCCCCTCAGCCACCCGCGAGCTACGCTCTCTCCGTGTCTATTCCGCTTTCTGATCCCCTTTCCCTCCACCTGTCCGTAGCCCAGGGTCTCTGTCTCTGCGGGTTTCCACGTTTGTCCCTCGTCTGCCTGCGCGCCTGTCTTCTGTCTCTCTCTCTTAAATGAATATCTGAGACCCTGGGTTGGAGTCACAAATTTCCACCCATTTCTCTCATTCTCTGCATCTGGCTTTGCCCTTGATCTTGGTCAGGGATGCATCTCTGAGTGTCTCTAGGCGGCAATTATCTCAGGATTCGCCGTCCTGGGGGACTCCCCTGGTGTCTCCAGTCTCCGTCTTTGTTTTGAATCTTGTTTCTCGGGAGTCTGTCTCTGTTTACCTGTTGTGTCCCTTGGTCTCTGTCTCTCCCCTCTGTCCGGGTGACTCTGCTTGTTTTTCTGGGTCTCTTCCCTCTCGTTCTCTCTTAGTCTTCTGTATGGATCTCTGCCTGTGGGTTTCTCTGGGGCGCCCCTTTGGGTCTTTTTCTTTCCCTGAATTACTACTAGTCTCAGTGTCAGGGCCTCTGGAGGACTCGGGGTCTCTGGAGTCATCTCTCTGAATCTCTCTGACCATCAGTCTTAGCTGAGCTCCACCACTCTCTCCCCTGTGGTTTGCCTGGTCCTGGGCCCTTCCAGCAGCTGCAAACCACGAGCATGCGCACCCCTCACCCGGTGCCCTCGCTGGGGTCTCTCCCGGGGTCTCTACTTGGGTTCTTTGCCAGATATGCGGAGACCCAGGGAGGCCTGAGCTACAGCCTTGAATGATGCCAAAGGCAGCAGGGATTGCCAGGAACAGGTGGGGGTGGGCTGGGGAGACGTCGCAGGGTCACTCGAAGAGACCAAAGGACAGACAGAGGATGGCCTTCCAGCCGCTGGTGTCCTGTGACATCGCTTAAAAATAGCTCCATCGGTTGGGCTTGGCGGGACCCGGGGTGGCGGTGGGGGGTAGGAGGTGGGATTGGTTACCTGGACTCCTGGGAATGCGGTCCTGGGCGCCCCCTGCTGGGCAAGTGGAGAGAGACAGTAAAGGTTATCCCCCCCTGCGAATCCCCACACTGAACGCTTTCTCTTCCTGTTTACGATTTCTTTCTAGGATGCCATGTCACTCGTCATCTGGATTGCATTGCTGTGTCCCGCTCTCTGGGTCTCTCTCCTCCCTCTCTCTGTATCTGTCGTTCTCTTTCGTGGCTCTTGACCCTCCTTGGTCTCTGGATCTCTGTCTCCTCATCTCTCCGGTCTTTTCTCTCCCTTTCTCTCTGGTCTCTGTCTCCTTTCTTCTCTCTCCTTTGTTTCTCTCATTCTCCAAGTCCCCTGAAGACTGTGAACCGGCCCCTGCCTCCTCCCTTCGGCCCTGCCTCTTATACCTGCCTGCCACTGGGCCTGAACGTGGGTGCTCCTCTTTGCCACTTCTACGTGGTACTCCCTCCCTCCGCTGCTTTGAAGCCCAAGCAATTCATGCTCACCCCTCTCACCCTTCCCTAATGAACTCCCCTTTCCCTTCTGGCCTCTTCCGCTCAGTCAGGGAAGATTCCCAATCCTGGCTCCCTGTCCATCTCTCTGAAACACTGTCATAATGCTTAGTAATTACAGTAGTCCCATCGACGATCCTGCTAAAACCTGGCCTGCGCTGGATTATCTTTTCCCAAAAGGGTCTTATTTCTCATTTTACAAGGCAATCCAGAACCTTGCCACACTGTATCTAGAGGAGTCCTCGCCAGTTCCTTTTGGGAACCACCCCCAGCGCCGCCGCCCCCCCCCCCCCAAGAGACTGTCTCTGAAGGAAAGCTTTGTCATTTCCGAGGTGGGGACATAAAAGGCAACTTTCTGACCCACTGTTTTCCTTGGGACAGCTCTGCAGGTCAGATGGCCAGGGCTCTGGCTGATGTGAGCAAGCCACCTTGGAAGCACTCTTGCTGCAGCCCGGCTATGCCAACTGATGCTTTTGGAGCAGGGATAAGGTCCGCCCCCTCTCCCCCAATCTCTGCCCACACTGAAGACTTGGGAGATTGCAGAAGCAAAGTTCCCTTTTCATGACATCATACCGGGGACATGAGGATGATATAGCCTCTCCTTTTTTTTTTTTAAGATTTTATTTATTAATTTTTAGAAAGGGGAAGGGAGGGAGAAAGAGAGAGAGAAACATAGGTTGCTTCTCATGTGGCCCCACTGGGGACCTAGCCTGCAACCCAAGCATGTGCTCTGACTGGGAATTGAACCTGCGATGCTTTGGTTCGCAGCTCGTGCTCAATCCACTGAGCTGTGCCAGCCAGGGCTCTTTTTTGTTTGTTTGTTTGTTTTTAGAATTTTGCTTATTTATTTTTAGAACGAGGGTAAGGGAGGGAGAAAGAGAGGGAGAGAAACATCTATTGGTTGTCTCGCACGCCCTCTACTGGGGACCTGGCCTGCAATCCAACATGTGCCTGATTAGAAATTGAACCTATGACTTGTTTTTAAAAACCCTTTTAGTGTGTGTGTGTGTGTGTGTGTTAAAGATTTTATTACCCTGGCTGGTGTGGCTCATGGACTGAGCACCAGCCTGTGAACCGAAAGCCCACTGAGAGGGAGAGAAATGTTGATGTGCGAGAGATACATACATCATCATTTGCCTCTTGTACACCCCCAACCGGGGACCTGGCCGCAACCCAGGCATGTCCCCTGACCAGGAATCAAACTGGCGACCTTTCAGCAGAGCCTAGAGACCTTTTGGTTTGCAGGACATTGCCCAGATCACTGAGCCACACTAGACAGGGTTGATATGTCCTCTCAAAGATGAGTTCAGCTCTGACTGGTGTGGCTCAATGGATTGAGCACGGGCTGTGAACTGAAGGGCTGCTGGTTCAATTCCCAGTCAGGGCACATGCCTGGGTTGTAGGCCAGGTCCCCAGTGGGGGCCACATGACAAGCAACCACACATTGGTGTTTCTCTCTTCTCCCTCCCTTCTCCTCTCTCTAAAAATAAATAACTAAAATTTTTTAAAAAGTCAGTTCACTTTGATCACTTGCTTAGAGTTGTGCCTGCTGGGTTTCTCCACTGTAAAGTTATTATTTTCCACCTTGTAATTAATGAATATTTGGGGGAACCATCTTTTTTGTTCAGTCAAGTGTATCGAGGTTTAATTTACATACAATAAAATTTACCCTTTATAGTGTACACTTCTGGGAGTCCTGGCAAGTGAATACAGTCGTGTAAGTGCATTACAATCAAAATACTGTATTATTCAAACTATAAGATGCACTTTTTTACCACATTTTTTTGCTTCAAAATTTTTTCCTTATTTCCCTCTTCTAAAACCCAGGCGTGTCTACTTTTTGGACCATAAGATGTACCCAGGTTTTAGAGGAGGAAAATAAGAAAAAAAATTTTGAAGCAAAAAATGTGGTAAAAAAGTGTGTCTTATCATCTGAAAAATATGGTAGACAACAGTTCTGTCACTCTGCAAAGTTGCCATCTTCCCTTTGTAGCCCGTGCCCCTCCTTGCAGCTGTTGGCAACTACTGCTGGCTCTTCTCTCCTTCGGTTCTGCTTCCAGAATGGGAAACAAATGAAACCGTAAGTACGTAGCCATCGAATATGGCTTCTTTCACTCAGCATAAGGTGTTGAAGACTCATTCCTACTGTGTGTATCAGTTCTGTTCTTAATTCTCGGCAGCATTCCGAGGCATGGTTGGGTGCCCATTTGTTTATCCATTCACTGTACAATGGGCTTAAACATCACACTTCACTTGTGATGATTTTGAATGAAGCTGATGTAAATATCCTTGTACATGTTTTTGTGTGAACACAAGTTTTCGGGTCTCTAAGTCACCAACTGTGGGCTTTCTGGGGTGTATGATAGGTGTATGCTTAACTTTTTGCCATCAGCCATTGTGTTATAAGACTTTCTATCTTATATCTTTTCTCTCTTATTAAATAAAAACAAACCTTCCTCAACACTGCTCTCCTATCCTGCTACTGTTATCTCTCTCTGCTCCCTTTGTAGCAAAACTTCTCCAAGGAATTTCCCTACTTGATGTCTCCACTTCACTGAGGCCTGTGGGTGCCAAACCTCAGTCCTTACCTTTTCGCATTCTTCGGGAGCATGGGACACGGTGAACGCTGCCTTTTACTGGGGCTGCTGCCTCCTTTCTAAAATAATTTTTATTTTTTAAGAAACTTCACTGATTTGAGAAAGTGAGAGAGAGAAATGTCAATTTCTTTTATGTGCCCAGATCAGGGATCGAACTCACAACCTTGACATAACAGGACAGTGCTCTAACCAACTGAGCTACCTGGCTAGGGCTCTGCTGCCTCTTTCCCCTTCCTCTTCTTCTTCCTCCTCCTCTTCCTCTTACACTTTTTCTCCTCCTCCTTTTTCTCCTCTTTAATAATCCTCACCCAAGGATATATTTCCTGATTTGAGAGAGAGAGAAAGGGGGGAGAGAGAGAGAGAGAGAAAGAAACATCACAGTGAAAGAAGAAACATCATGAAGAAGTATCAATCAGTTTTCTCCCCTACACGCCCGGACCAGGGATTGAACCAAACGGTTACAACCGTTTGGTGTACCAGATGACACTCTGACCAACTGAGACACCCGGCCAGGGCTGCCTCTCTTTTGCAGTGCCTTCTTTCTTGGCTTTCTGGACACCCCATTCCCATAGTTTTCTTTCCTACTTAATCTCTCTTGCTAACTTTTCTTGCTTGGTCTGAGCTCTAAATGCTGGAGCGCCCTGGACGTCAGCTCCAAGGCTTCTTCCCTTCTACGTGCCCTTTCACTTCCTAGGTGAGTTTGTCAGTCATGTGGCTTCCAAGACCATCTGCAGGCCAGTGACTCTCAGGTCTAGGTTTCCAGCCCGAAACTCCTCTGAGATCACCATATACCCCAACCTTCAATCCCTCAGCTCCACGGGAGTGTCCAGTAGGCCTCTCACAATGTCCAAGGCACAACTCCTCGGTGACTGCAGCCTTCCCCCAGTCTCCCCTTTCTATGTCAATAGTGCCATCAATGACCCAGCAGCACGTTGTACAAATCTAAGTATGAGATTTATTATTAAGGGAAGATTAGCTTCCTTTTAAAGTTTCCTTTAAACTTGTTATTTTGAAGTCATTTTTGGGCCCTGGCTGATGTGGCTCAGTGGATTGAGCACCAGCTTGCAAACCAAAGGGTTGCTGGTTTGATTCCCAGTCAGGGCACATGACTGAGTTGTGGACCAGGTC